GTTCGACTGTACTTGCTTGTCCCGTTAACTGCTCAGTAGACCTATACGTGACTCGGATGATCACTGGACATAGAAAGTGTGGTCCATTCTCCGAGTACAGACGTAAAAATAGTGTCCTCAATTAGCGCTCGCGTGTTAAATACATTCACGCTTGAATGAAGTAAACTGGTACGTTCAACTTCAACACATGACGGTCTCACTGACAACGATAAAATTTGAACAATAAAGCATTCTTTATTTTTGATCCTTTTTAAAATGCGTTTTCAACAAATTGTTATACGATTCGGTTAATATATGTGACCTGAAGAAGCTGTTGAGAAAAAATAGTACTTGAGCCAAGGGCTCGGGACTAATACTTCAAAAAATGCACTAGCTAACAACTAGCAACTGCTGGAAAGAAAATGAAAAGATGTACAGCATAAAAAGCAATTTTGATACCAAACAATTTAACCACCTTCTTTAACTATAATCGGAAATTAAATTAGACTACAGTACATATGAAAAAAGGATAACAAAATATATTTACAAGTTGAATGTCATTTCAGCTATTATTACAGCTATTATTATAACTTATTGTTACATTCACAGAAAAGACAAAGAACAGTGGCAAATACCTCACGAGATGGTGTTGTTCGAAAAATTCCGGTTTTCTTTGTTCGAGGTAATCAATTCGAACCGCTTTTTAACAATTACAATACCACTGGTAAGATCATATTATACCTTGTCAAAAATCTGGATTCGGTCGTTCATCATGTCAGACACAGCTATTCTTCCATCACTAAGATTTGCAGTAGACCTAGGATAATTAAACTCTCCTATCTGACCACCGCTACTCCCAAACTTTGTAATAAACGTTCCATTAAGTTCAAAAACCTGAACTCTGTGATTATTTCCATCACAGACCGTTAACAAACCTTCTTTGTTAAGTGACAAGTAATAGGGGTTTTTGAACTCACCATCCTTGTTTCCCTGTTTTCCAAATTTAGAAATAAACGTTCCCTCCAGATCAAATATTTTAATGGAATGATCCCCGCAGTCTGAGACTATAAAATATTGACCGTGTTGGATACAGTGATAGGGATTGACAAAAGTACTTGCTCCACCAAATTTACGTAAATACTCCCCACTAGAAGAGAATATCTTGATTAATTTGTTACCGTTATCAGCAACAATAATATCACCGTTACCGTTTATTGATAAACCTTCAGGGCTCCCAAGCTGGTGATCAAGAATTCTTTCTTCACCAAACTTTCTAAGAAAGTTACCACTCCTATCAAACACTTGCACCCTGTGGTTATTAATGTCTCCCACTACAATATTACCATGAGTATCGACAGCGATCCCTGTAGGGTATATAAATTCACCATTTTTTTTACCCTTTCTACCAAACGATCTTAAGTGGGTACCGTCACTACTAAACACTGAAACCCTGTGGTTCCCTAACTCAGCCACAGCAATTTCATCCTGATCATTCACTGCCAACCCCCGGGGCCGCAAAAGCATTCCAACAGACTCACCTCTTTGTCCAAATGACAGCACAGGTCTGAAGCGTCTTGTTTGTACCAGAGCCTTGAAAGGACTGTCACAAACATTTGTCGCTTTATTCCCAGCAATTACTTTACTGCTTTCTTTACCTATAGTTGCTTGTACTTTAGTTTCGCTAAAAGCAGTTTTTAAATTACCTATTCCTTCACTTCTCAACAAATTAATCAGTTTTTCGCTTTTAGTAAAACTAAACCGAGGAATACATTCAGTGCCAAGGTTTTGTTGGGGGCCCTGTTCCTGTAGGATTGTATCAAATGTTTCACTGAATCCCAGGATTTCAGTACTAAAGCTTCGTTCCAACAGAGTTTCAGTTTGTTCAATTGCTGATTCAATTAGTTTCACTCGTTTTTCCACTTCGTCTTTTTTCTGTAAGAGAGATTCCAGTGATTTTTTTGCTTGATTTTCGACTGCATCAAAAACATCTTGTTTCCTCGCTTCGATGATTGCAATAATTTGATCTACACAAGACTGCACTTGGCTTTTTACTTCGGTTACTTTCGATTGAACTGCGATGCGTTTTTGGTTGAATTGTTCGACTTCCTTTTGTGTTTCCAATACTTTGTCTTTCAAAGATCGAATCATGGAGTTGATTTGTGTTTTGCGCTCATCGGTAGCTTCTTGCAAGGGCATCTTACCATGACCTTCATGAAGCGTTACGGCACAAGTGTTGCAAATGGCAACTTTGCAGTCCTTGCAAAAGAACTTCAGCTCTTCTTTTTCATGGTGTTTCTTCTGACAAAATGCTGGTCGCTCTAATACAGCCTGGATGTCTTGATCTTGAAAATCTTTCAGTGCTAGCGTTCTGTGGTCTTTATTTTCTCGAATTAAGTTATGTGCTACAACACATTCTTCACACCAGAAGGAACAACACTGGAAGCAATATAAGGTCTGGGCGCTCCGTTTCTCGCAGTTTCTGCATTTGACGTTGACTGTACTACACTCTTTGATTGCCAAGACATCTAACAAACTATTTATTCGAAAATTAGTGGGCAGTTCGCTGGGATTTCCACTCCCAGAAATCTGAAACTGTCTCCTGCACTCAGGGCATACAATTTTGCCATGGACGCCACTCGTTCGTTGAATTCCGTTCAGGCAGTGAAGACAGAAACTGTGCAAACAAGGCAACTGCTTTGGATCAGTAAATGTACACATACACACAGAACAGGATACTTCATCATGAAGATTGTCCAGCAAGGTCTTTATATCCATGGAAAAGGTCGGAAACAAGGTTACTTTTTAAAAATTTTGGCCTAGTTGTTGACGACTAATTAAGGGAATGGCTTTGCGAATGAACAATGAGATTCTTGTCTTGTGACCCAGACTATACTCTGTATTACTAACCAATCAAATAGCGTTTCTTGACATGTTTTGATGGTTTGACGGAAGAATAAAAAACATCCTGTATTTCCGAGAATTGTTAATCAGCTCTTTGAAGCATGGACTATGGTGTTCAATCCCAACCAAAAATCAACTGGAGTCCTCAACATTCAACTTGAGCGGCTAACATTAACATAGCACCCAACTGTCAACTTCACGTTTCAACATTTAAAGTTAATAGTTCAACTTAAACTTGATCACTTGTTGAGCGCGCATCATTCTTGATCACTTTTCTTGAATATAGTACTACAACATGGTAGAGGCAAGCGCGAAACGCGAGTGACTGGTGATGAACCGCAACCAAATTTGCAATTTCAGTATTCGACGTTATATATAAGTCTCATCATCTCTTTTTTAAGTCGGATGTTAAAAAGATATATATTCGTATCAGACGCGATGGGTCGTGAATAATTGCCGTGCGATTAAAATTCTTGACCTCGTTGTGCGGGACAGCGTAAGATGTCCGCCAAAATGTATCATATATCAAAGGCTGACGTAACAGGCCAACCACAAGGATTGTTGCCAGTCTTCGGTCCCATAATCCTTACACAAAATGGCGGACCTTCTGAGCGTTGTGGTAGCCATAAATGACGTCATAACTCGCATCGAACGGTTAGAGCCGATTCACAGTATGCTTTGTGGGGCTTTTATTCCCAAGTATATGACCATTTTCTTACAATTCAAATTTTATTTCTATTGTATTTGTTGCTTAGACTTAAAAATCCGTTGCACAAACTTATAATCTATATCGTCTCATTTTAACAGCCTCTTGGGCCATTTTGATCGAATCACTTTATTTATTACCCGGTTTAGAGGGGTGCGTACAAATTTTGGAACGGAGATCTTTTTTACCCATGCAAAAATAACCGTTTAATCACGGAACCGTGCAAACTCTGAATCAGTACTGTTTACACGAGTCCGATAACCTTTTTCAAGTTTGGTTTCAGTCAGCATTGGAATTTTGACCATTTTCATTACTCGATTTAGAGGGTAGACCACAATGCACCTTGTTCACCCCCAAAACTTTGCAAAAGAAAGTAACCATTGTTTTCGATTTCTCTTGTATACTGTTCACAGTCCCAACTGATTTTTCCGTGAGATCGTCGAGATCGAGCGCGTCTTTGATTCTTTCTGTTAATGGCGGCCATCTTGATTTTAGATGTTGACCGAGGGGCGGGTGTCGGGGATTATAGAATCTTTTTGTCTGGGAGGCGAAGAAAACCATGCGTGATTTTTTTCGCCAATTCCTCCCAAAATAGAATTCCGTTTGTTGTCCTCGCCCCCTTGCAGTAGATTTGATACTCTTCCCAGGTTAGACTTTATTTACGACTGAAAATCAAGATGGCCAGCCATTAATGGAACCGCGCAAACTCTGAAGCGCGCTTACGATCTTTTGCGACGATCTTTTCACGAAAAATTCACCCCACTTTGAACAGTTGTTTTCGATTTTTCCTTGGACGACTGTAATACCCTGAAGAAATTGGAAACAATGGTTATGAAAAATTCTGGGGGGTAAACAAGGTGCATTATGGTATATGTGAAAGTAGTGAATGTCTTTTTCCTGTCAAACGCGCGTAATTAGGAGTTACTAGGCTCCAGGCTTTTACCGCGCAAACTGTATCAAGTGTTTAAAGGTGATGTTACAGGGGACGATTCACGCAACGACGATTTTTAACGCAAAAGAGGGTTCAAATGTTGGAACAATATTCCGACCATTCGAAAAAATGTAACAACAATTTTGTAACACTGTGTTGCTCTAAAAATCGTCGTTGCGAATCGGCCTTGTAGCATCACCTTAAAAGAGTTTGCGAAAAAGTGGAGCTGTACCCTTCAAACTTGTGACCTACTTCTGATTTTTTTGATCAGGTAAAAAAAAACTTGCACACTTTTCCGTTCAAAAACTTGCACGGTTCCGCGGGCCAGTAAAACGAAAGGTGTACCGGGGCAAGGTTTCGTCCGATTAAAAATTTGTCCGGACCAGCTCTTCATGTTCCTTACTTAATGAAATTCAAAATCTCGAGTAAATAAAAAACTTTATTTACATTCCTTCCAGAAAATCATATGCAAAGTCGCTTTATCAAACATTCTCTGTGTTAGGAGTTTGTCTACGTGATGGCGACGTTAAGAACTTCAAAGCTCACATTCCGTGATTGCAAAATCAGTGCACCTATGTTTTACCTGCGAACGTTTAGCAAAGATAGTTTAGAAAACTCTTTGAATTCCAATTTCCCCGCGAAAGAAATGTTCACGCTGGAAGTCTAGTTAAGGGATATTTTGAAGATGACAACTGCTGGCCACGAGGCGAGGTAAGGACAAGTACTTTGAAGACGAAAACTAGGTACTAATTCTCCGCTACGCAAGGGAGAAAGTTGCTCTTGGATTTATATGGAACCAGATCAATGCTTCATTCGTTCACAGAATCATACCACGACTCGGATCTGTTGAAGTTATTTTGTCTTACATAATCCGCATATTTGTTTATCTTCGACCAAAATTTACTTTAACGCGGCAGAACGAAAAAGCAAGGTAGTGAGTGTAAGGCAGCTGAAATTGGACCACTCTATCATGAATAGCGCCGTGCTGCTTAATTAAATTTCCTGGAGCTAGAACCCGGCGCTAATTCGAAGGAGTTGGTTATTTCCTTATTAGCTTATTTAAACTTCGGTCTCAATATGAAATTCTTTTTGTTTAAAAAGTGAATATTAACTATAACATTTAATGGCGATAGCCCCGCAAAAATAATTGTATTACGGTAAATTACCGCCCGCGGGGTGTCTATTTAGTTTTAGGGGTCCAAGAGGGGGCGTTTAATAGATAGAGGGCGTTTGTTCTCATAACTGTAACAAGCTCAACAAAACCAATATGCAGAATATTCATTCCAATTAATACGTCTAGGCCCTCTAGAGATCTATACCGCTCTTTCAAACCCCAACATCGATATCACAATCCACGCTTCGGAGGGATATTGTTTTGCCATCGTTAGTCTCACCGTTCTTTGAACTTGGTATTTAACAAGATGAAACACGTTAAGTCCTGATAATCAATCAAGAACTGAATGAATCGAATGACTTTGCTCCTTTTTGCTAATTCCTAGCATTTTAAAGTAATTCTCATAGGGGGGTTCTGTTAGACAGGGGGCGTTTATCAGAGAGAGGGGTCAAATATAATTTTAACAGCGTTGACGGGGCGTTTATTCGGAAGTGGGTGTCTACAAGGTCACTTACGGAATAGAATTGAGAAAAAGAAAGACTTGCATTATTTTATGGTTCCAAAAGAAATCTGCTGATCAAAGTTAGCTCCTCTATGGCGAACCAGATACACTAAAATTTCCTTTTTTGTTTTGTTTTGAACAACTAGCCACGGAGGAGCACTTGTATACCCAAGACAACGGAAACTTGTCAGGAGTTCAACATTTCGTCGAGAATTTATCCCATTCGTCGGCCTGATTCTAATTGTTTTGGCAATATTAGCCTACTACCTTGGAAAAACTCAGTATATAACCATACGAGGTAAGCATCCAAAAGTGTGAGTGCAAAAAAAACAGTTTGTTCCCTGAGTTTGGGTTTACTAGGGAAAGTCTCGAAATAGTTATAGAAAAGAATGGGAAATTAAGACTCAATTGAGCGGCCACCTCTATTAAGCGACTGCGGCCACCTTTTGGTCGAAGGAAAATACAGTCCAAGATAGACGATGACGACCGATTGTAGACCAATAAAGGCTTGTCCAGTCGTGCGTTTTTTTTTTTTTAAAGTAATGTTTCTGCTAAAGATTATGCTAATTTATGACAAACCACTTCCTGGTACCCTGAGGGTGGCCGCTTAATTCTCTATTTTTTCAATTTGCCGCTCCTGGGAATTGCATTTTCCCAAGGTTTTAAACTTTGTGGGGCATGGTTAAAATACCTGCAACGCGTTAAATCCTGTTGTTCTGTTGCACCTCACTTTTAACTCTGCTTTGCAGTAAAAGGAGGCTAGCGCTCTGCGAGCTTTCTTTTGCCTCGCACTAGTCATATGTTTTCCCAGCGCTTTTTACCAGTTCGAAGATACAGCCTGCCTCGTTCCTTGGCGTCTCAAGTGCTTGGAAAACAGAAAACGTTACTACGAGTATTGCGCAATGGGACCATGAACACGTTTAGCTTTGACGCAAAGGACGCTGGGAGCGAGAGTTTTTCTCTTCGTCTTTCCCATGATACCTAGCGCGGAAACGAAATCGCTCCAGTTGCTCTCGGATCTACTAGAACGTTTCTGGGTACGAGGCAGAGATAGTGATAGGTTATTGGTTACAACGATGATGCCAAACACAAACCTATTAGTATTGCCCAACTATAGCCAGCCTCTGTGAGCAAAAAAAAAAAATAAAAACGTCCAAAACGCTGTAATTGTATAGGTTTCAAACCTGCAGTGAGACGTAAGAATTATCCTTATTTTTGAATATTTTGGTTACACATAATCAAAGTTTTTTTCTTCTTTTTAAAAGGAAATCTCCTCAACTTAAACGCGGACAGGGTTATTCAATACTTCGGAAACAGCAAAAAGAGTAAGGAAATAGATGAGCGCACAGAGGAAGTCATCATAAATTCAAGCAACACCCAAGAGAGAGCACGACACAAAGACAAGAATGGAATAAAATTCACAAACTTAGAAAATATGGCTACGATAAAAAACCCTGAAAGATCGCAGGTAGAGAGAATTTTAAACGCGGTTTTAAGCACAAAGCTGCTAAACGGAAATCTGTCGCAAAGAGGAGAGAATAGAAACGCAACCCATTTCACCGTACCAAAACAAAAACAGCCCTCTAAAAGCCAAAAGATGGCTCTTTTCACTTCGAATACCAAAAAGCCACACAGTTCAAGAAAGTCACAACTTTCTGAGACGATCCAAAATCAAGATGCAGAATCAAAAGTCTCGGATCAGATCACAGCATTCGGAAAAAAGGAGAAGTTTAATTTCGATAACTGGTATAAAGAGCGGACAACTGAGATATGCGGAACTGGCTGGCAAGAAAACTATCGCAAACTTCATAAAGAAATATTGAGCAAGCGACGGGAAGAAAAATATCTGGTTTATTTATGTCCGGGAACGCGGCAAGGTTGCTGCGGTTACGGAAATCGACTTCGGGCAGTGGTGTCTTTGTTTTATCTCTCAATTCTGACAGACAGGGCTTTTTTGATTGACTGGCGTGCGCCTGAACCAATAGAAAACCATTTGTTGCCACAAAACATCCAATGGAATTACTCGGAGCCCATTGATCTTTGTACAGGGCTGCCAATACGGAAACATTATTGGGGAACAACGAAGACCGATATTAGAGAAGCAGAAGGTTGGATTATTCAAGATAGCAGTCATTTTAAAAAATGGCTGACTACAACAGACTTGGCAAATTACTTCAACTGGCCAGTCGAGGAAATAACTACTATCTGGTACTTCGCAGAAGGAGGAATCTCATTAAATCCTTACTTACTAAAACGAGCAAAAGAATTGGGAGTAAAGCCGTTGATTTCTAACACGCCAAAGTATAATCTCATAGGATGTGCTTTTGATTTTTTGTTCTCGAAATCGGACGCAGTCTCGAACAAACTTGACGAGATGAGAAGACAGCTTAAATTTGATGTAGGGCCAATTATTGGAATACACATTCGAACAGGCGATGATCAATTTGATTATTACGCGTCAGATAACGAGCGAACTGGGAACTCCAAAAACATTTCTCAACTCTCAAAATTCTTTGATTGCGCGCGAAAGATAGAAAGCCAAATCTTTGGAAATGGGACATTCGAAGCATCAAAAGTACGATGGTTTGTTTCAACGGACAACGCTTTTGTGAGGAAATATGTCCAGAAAAGTTACCGTCGAAAAGTTATCACTTCTAATCTAACGATCCAACACTTGGACATTCTCCACAACACTACCGTATTAAACTTCACGGCAGAATGTAACTATACAGACAGTACTAATACTACAATGGTTTGTTACAACGTTGAAATATTTAATGTCACAGCCTACTGTGAAAACCGCACAAAATATTGGCTGGAAGCTGAAAGCAACTCTACTGCAAATGAAACAGGTCTCTATACTGACGGAATCATAGCGATGCTAGTTGATCATTTTCTGTTAGCAGAGAGTGATCTTCTAATATTGTGCGACAGCAGTTTTGGCTCCACAGCGGTTGGTTTGAGCATGCGCAACACGTATAGTTATACTTTGGCTGATCGGGGTTGTGTTGAACTGGCAGCAGCTCAGAAAAACGGGAGGTTGAGGTATTTTGGACGAAGATAACATCTTAGGGTAGCAAAGCGAGCCGAGCGGTAGTCTGGGGAGGGGTAAGAGTGGGGGAGGCTTTGTTGCCCTTTTCCCCTCCCGATTCCACCACTTGGCTTGCTTTGCTCACTGGTTTTTGTTTTTGCTGTTTCACCACGTTTTTTGCCTTTTCTCCCCACTGTGGAGCTTGGTCCCAGGCAATTTTTGAAGCAGGTGGGAGATGAATATATCTCACTTTGCTCTACGTCACTGCATGTAAGATAATCTAAGAAAGTCTTTAATATCTGGATTCCATACTGTAGAGTCTGGGTTTCTTGTCATTAGAGCTTGGATTCCAGATTTCAGTGGTTAGTGACATTCATTAATTTGAATACTATATACCAGAAAAAAAATGTTAGAAATAAATAAAATTTTAGCCTCACAGACATTGACTGGCAATTACAAAGTCTACCTAATCATCTTTCTTCTTTTTCTGTAGTCCTAACCAGTGTTCCAGCATGAAATTTACTAGAGTTTTCTCTTTGATGTAAACTAGAATTGCAACAATCAACAGACAAACTCCACCAACACCGATATGTAAAATACGATAATACCATCCAAGATCACAACACAGCCTTGCCTCTGATGTAGCGGTGATTACCCACGAAACGGCAAAAGCCAAAAGAACCAAGGGGATGGAACAAGACCTCGTAAAGGTTTCAGATGAGGCATTGACTTGAAATAGTGATGGATGAAGATTAGGCTACAATAGAACAAAACAAATCTTTTAGCTGAAATGTACATGCATCTGTTTTAGGTAAAATCTGTTCTCGAGTTAAACCAGCAAAGAAGTGCTCTCACATGCAAAAGGCTACTGCGTGATGGTTTGTGGAAAGCCAACTGAAATTCTCATTGAGCATATTAACATGTAACTATGCCAGACTCATAGATAAATGGTGAATCTGTCTGTAAACTAGTCTCCTTCAAAGCCGTCTTTAGGGTTGTCACGCAATGTTCCTCTTGCGTGATGACCCTAAAAATGGCTGTGAAGGAGACTATCTGTAAACTGGACCTGATGGAATACTGGAATACCGTCAGCAACACTTTCCCATTGAAATGTTCATTTTCACACTTATACAGCATATGTTATATATAATAATGTTACGTGATTCTTCATGAGGAAAGCAAGTGAGAGTGGTAGCAAGAAGTCCATGTATGAAAAATTGGCATATTTATAGTAACCTTAGGTGCCCCCTGCCCCGTCTTCAAATCCTGCTGTATCTTTTGCTTGTGCTAAAAACATGCTACTGACCACTCTAGAGGTAGAACCTCCTTTTGTCCTCTTTGAAGGGATCATTTTGCATTTCTGGGAAACTGCCCACCTACCCCTCCCCTCAGCCGACATTAACACTTACTTCTTATTTAGCGCAAAATGTCGGCTTAGGGGAGGGGTAGGTGGGCAGTTTCCCAGAAACGTATAATGATCCGATCGAAGAGGAGAAAAGGAGTTTCCACCTGAATCGCATCAAGCTTTTGAAGTCACAGCAGTCCCAACTTTTCTTAAACTGGTTTTTCGAGTGCAAGCATCTGCTTATTTTTAAATAAAACTGATAGTTGTAACTGAGCATGTTGTACTCAGTGCACAGCTATTATGCCTGGGTTCACCATAATATTCTAGCAACATGCAGTGCATGATTCATAAAGATATTGCTTTAACACAGAGTCTTTCACTTGAGTACACTAAACTCGAGTAAGCAAAATAGGGCTCTGCTACCCGGGGGGGGGGGGTACTCAACTAATGTTTATACAGGGAGGATCCGCCCAAGTCTAACCCCTTGCCCGGCCTATAATATACCATTTTTCACAAAAAAGGTACCCCTTTCGTATACCTTCTATTGACAAATGGCACCCCTTTCACATACCGGTACCTTGTTTACAACTTTGCATCCCTTTTAACTGCTGTAAATGCACTGACTTTTAAATAGGAATCAATCACAAAAATAGAACATTTTCTCCGCTTTATAAAGCCATAAAACTCATCAGTTATATACTTTAACTATTGAAATCCCTACTGTTTCATATACCCAAAGCCTGAAAAAGATACCCCTTTTGGGCGGAGCCCTCCCTGTACAGGCCATCAAAGGGTGTAACCCCCCCCCCCCCCCCCACCATTCCCGGGCTCAGCTACTAGCAAGGTTGCCACTGACCTGTGATAAATTCGAAGAAGCATGTTCAAACAGTTGGCAATAACAAAGCCAACACTTCCAAGGAAAGTAAGATACCAAGATGCTGCTAAAAAGATAACTGAGAATACCATCATCTTGTAGTTATAAGCATCAACATCCTCTTTGCTCATGGCAGCAAACATGAAGCACTCTGTCATACCATTCACTGCTATGATCAGCACATACAAGCAATACATCTGGAGCAGTGAGGGACCTGCAAAATACGGATTATTAATTGCACTTTATTTAATATTTATTCAAAATATTTCTCTGTTTCTGATTGGCTAAAAGCACAAGCATAATTCATCATGACGAGCTTTTGTTGACCAAATTTGGAAGAATTTGTCATATTGAACTGACGATGTCAAAAGTGCAGCCAAAGTTGCAGATTATTGAAGATAACCAAGAAAACGCGGGGATGAGGTTGGGTTGTTTTGGTGATGAGAAAAAAATGGCTGAACAGTCAGCAAAACATTTTACTTGTTTCACGGTGAAATATTGCCTAAAATCATGGCAAGAACAGCATGAAGAAAACTTGATGGATGATATCTGCTATTTGGAGTATATTTGAAGACCTGAACAGACCTTTATCTCCTAAATTTCCCAATAAAGATGTACTATCGATGTAAACTTAACATTGACTGAGGTAAGTAAGTTTTAGCTTGTTTTCAAACTTGGAATTCTTTTGAATGAATAATAAAGCATGTATTGAATTTGACTTTTGTAGGATATGAAGAATTCTGCAGATCTTCGAGGGTGTTGTCCCTCCTCGATCTGCAGAATTCTTCATATCCTACTCATCCTCTTTCAATAATTGCTAAATATGTTGCATCCAATTGAGGATAATTTTAGGTAATATAAAGAGGTGGGTATATTACAGGAAAAAAATTGATTTAACGTTAAATTTTTTTAACCTTGGTTGATTTTCAATTTACCTTGTCTCCTAGCCCTAACTATTCATGAATCAGGGCCAGGAAATGAAGGGAATTGAGAATAAACCAAGGTTAAATCAAAGTTAACCTGAAATCAAATTTGAGCTGTAACAGGTATGCTGTTAGTAAAATCCATTCTCAGGTGAGATGAAATCAAACATTGACTGAAGCAGTTGTATGGTGCACCTTAATACGCTAACATCCAATTTCACCTCTCTGGTTCCTCTGCAATTCAGCGACTCGTTGCAAATGAGGAAAGTTGGCTCAATATTTATTCATTATTACTGCTTTAAAATAATTTGTTTATTTTTACTGAAAAAAAAGAAATAAAAGAAAAAAGAAAAAAGAAATAATTATTGTGAAATAAAAAAAGTAGGCTACCTTCTCCACTGCTGAGGGTTGACCCACCATAGATGTCTAACAACAGAAAAGAATAACCATAGCCAAATACCAAAAATGTCATCCCAACCAGAACAACAAACTTAAGAACAACTTCCAGTGTTTCAGAGGCCATTTTTGCTGACTTTTCGGCTTGCTGATCAGCATAATTTCCGCGAACCAAGGTATGCGCAAAAAATGTGTAATAACTTTCCTCAATGGGCATGAAAACACATCTGGCAACTAACGAGCCGAGGTTGTTAATAACATCATAGATACCCTGCTGAGAAAATGTTAACACTCTGAACAGAGTCATGATGTACCGTTCCCCCTCAGTCAAGATTTTCTTTAAGAAGGATTGTTTGAAAAAGCTCCATGTAAGATGCACCATACCCCAACTTACAACACTCAAACCAGGAATTCTTCTGGGGAAAAAGTCACGGACAGATTTCAGAGGGAAGTCATTCATGGCGGTTTCCTTTTCTTTGGGGACATTTTGAATGAAGTATAAAAAGTATACATAATACAGGATCATGGATAATATTGAGAAAGCCATTTGTGCCAGGCAAAATGAAACAATTCCGAGATCTGGAAAGAGCACTACGAGAGCCAGAGTAATCACACATCTGGCAAAGTTTGCAATGCCTTCTATGATGACTTTGAGCCGTAAAAACACAAATGCTTGAGCCAACACCCACAGTTGTTCGGATAAAAGTTCAATTGAGCCGCTCGCAGCGAAGGCGAAAACGGCCAACGGATAGTTTGGAATCTTTTGTGGATCGGGAACTTCTAGGTGAAGCAGCCAAACGTAGCCAAGGACGAAAGATAAAGTTACACCGAGAGGGAAAACACACCAAAGAAGATTGATCACTTGAACCCAATTCTTGTCCTGCGTCTTGCTAAGGCAAGCTTTTCGGAAAGCTTCTCTGGCAACGAACACGATAGTTTGGTTGAGAAGCATTAATCGCACGTTCACAATTCCGATCATGTCTTTCGTGGTGAAACGAAGAAGAACACCGTTCATTACGAAGGTAAGGATTCTAAAAATAACCTGAAGAACAACATTATACGAGGCGGAACGAACTGTACTTCCAACCAAACCTTCCTTCTCGTCCGCCATTTTGTCAAGTTAGTTCCCTATACATATCAAATTCGCTTATTGGTCAATCTCTAGTAAATCAGCCAATCAGTGGTGTTTTTATATTTCGATTATTTTTCGGAAGTCCGCTGAACTTTTGCTCATGGTCTCTTTGAATCTTCATTAATAAAAGAGCAATTTTAATTGGTTAATAATAGCTTCTTTTGTTCTAAATAACCAATAAAAACGTCCGTTTCTATTGCACTAGCCGTTTGGGTCACACGTGGCAAAACACAGATTTTTCTATTTTCAGAAATTTGTACTCGCAGTGATTTATATAGTAAACACGGAACTTTTCTGTGTCATAAATATGGCGAAGGAGAAGCCGTGGTTAAACAGCTTGCTTTTTCTTACATTTGTAAGTATCTTTTCGGTATCAGCGTTTACTTGGAAAGGATACAATATTTTTTATTTTTATAAACTAGTGCATGTAACACGTTGATTGCTCTTTTCCATGACTCAAATTCCTGTTTTTTTTCTTACAGTTTATCGGACTATCCTTACAAGCCAAGAAGAAATATGATAGGAGCTCCATAATTCAAGTCAACGACATAAAACCATTCAAAAAATTACAAAGAACCCACACCAATTTACTGGTTTTGTTTGCGCAGAGTGGTAGGTCACAGTTTATATGCAAAAATACATGTACAGTGATTGAATTTCCAATAAATTTTCAATGCAACGTGACCCCTTTTCGTGTAGCTTTTGTATAATTGGACTTCTCCTGTTTCGAAGTTTTATGGAGCACTTTTGCTTCCTTTTATTTCCTTGTTTTCGCTGGATAAGGTGATATTGATTTAGCTGTCTTTCAAAAGCAATTTATATTTGCACATTATTATTTGAATCCGGCGTAGATGAGAAAATGCGGTCGATATCTAGAAGATTTTTGACATTTTATTTATTATCAAATTATTCAAGATGAGGTGCCTTTATAAAAAAAACAAGTTAATCTTCATTGTGATCTTAAATCCTTATTATTATGCATGCATGAACATTTTAATTAGGGTTCTTATCCAGTAACCCTGGAAACTTACGAAAGGGAATGGCATAGGTACTATATTCATTTTGATTGTTAATTACATCAAATAAATCATTGCTGGTTTGCACGTGACGTTACGGCAGCTATGTTGGTGGTCAAGAACAAAAGCATTTCTCTCCTCTGGGAACTCAACTACTTTTTCATGTAAATTCTTTGAGAAAAATTTTTATTGTATTGACCCCCAACATGGCCACGCTGTTACGTGGTTGCAAACCAAGAATATGTAAACTGTATTGAAATAGATGCAAATATGTGGCTGTGATCCCTCTTGTTTTACCTGATCAGCCGAAGGGGCAGAGTTTTCAGGTTGGTCAACCTGAAAATAATTATTATTGTCTCATTCAACTTTCAATATTTCCACATTTTCACCAATTTTTAACTAAATACGAGAGAACGACTGGAGAACTGACAATTTGACTAACAATAGATGACTGTTTAACTGTGACAATAGATGGATCGAAACGCACCAATTACTGATTATGAGTCTTCATAGCCAATAACATCACGGCTTAACTGACAGACGACCAATAACATCGCAACATAATGACCAATCAATAACCAGAGTATAATACCATCAACTGACATGATACAACTCACTTTGACTCTGAAGATGACTACCGCACAGGTTGTCGAAACGTCAGTCACTGTCAACAACAACAGTGCTATTCAGGACTACGTTCACCTGGACAATCAAACTCCACCTACTTTTGGAATTGTTATTTTCTTTCAATTTCTTTGTTTGACAAGCGAGTTTATCTCAATTGAATAAATTTTAAACTAAATACATATTATGTTTTTCAATATTGATTACTGGACTGACAAACTCAACAAACCATTAACACCTGGTAAGTATTTGTGGAATGTTTATTGTATACTGACAAATACTGGCCAATGACACGGAAGTTAAGGACTCACAAAACAGGCAACAAAACCACCGCCCAGAGAAGTTATAGGTGATTTACAAAAAAGTGTTCTGGGTCTTTATGCAAGAGTTAACTATCAATTTAAGACAGGTGAACTGAAAAATGTAGAGAAACTGGTGAAGCAAAAAAGTTAATGAAAGTTGAAGGCAATTGCCTCATGTATATCTTACAGGTCAAAATCATATTCAGGTTAAAATTCTTTAACCTAGGGATGATTCTTAATTTTCTTTGTCTCCTAGCCCTAATTCATGATTGAATAATATTTTATTAGGGCTAGGAGGCAAAGGAAATAGAAAAACACCCTAGGTCAACAAATTTTAACCTGAATATAATTTTGACCTTTAACATGTATCTTTATCTTCTAAGGGTGAATTTACTTCCCAAATTAACCAATCAAAGTGCACATACTAATTGGGCATTAGATTATGGTCCCGGGGGGGGGGCACTTGGGTATTTTTTGGGTGGGTATGTGCCGCCCGGGACTCCAAATTGGCACCCCGTTCTAGAAAAAATTTCCCCTAAAATTGATACCCCGTTCTAAAAATGGGCCAATTTTTTATACCCGGTTCTAGTATTCCCCCTAAAACGATACCCCGTTCTAGAAATGGGCCAATTTTTTATACTCCGTTCTAGGGTGCAACAAGAGTACAACAGTTTGCTTGTTAACGCATTGAACCATATTTTTAAAAGCAATCTGTCCTTGAATGCTTTCAAATGGCTGCTTACAAAAGTGGAGCTTTCGTGCATTTGAAATTTTATACCCCGTTCTAGAAAACGCCTCTGAAATGGATACCCCGTTCTAAATCAGGAGCTTCAAAATCACGACCCCTTTGGGCGGCACATACCCGTATAGGTAATGTATGGGAGTACCCCCCCGGGATTATGGTACATCTGTAATTTATTACTTTCATGCAGTGAATTATTACCGGGGCCTAGCCGAAGGCTGGCACCGGTCATAAAATGCAACGCGTTTCTGTGTTTTCAAAGTTACATTGTTAGGGATATATCGCTGACTGAGATATATAACTGGCTCGTTACTTTTGGGAGTGTTCGCTGAGATATATCGTTGGTTCAGAAATTTGAAGTAGGGAGCAACAACTGTAACCATGTAAATATTAATTCGATTAGTTTGCGCACGGAATGGTTTAATGCGACTATATTTACCACTTATCAATAAATGAGGTCCCTGTCTATTGCAAAATATTGTTACAGTGTTCATCCTAGCGATGACAAAGCTTGGTCAATGTAGAACTGTGTACACTACGACAAAGCAAAAATCTTAACTTATCAGGGGCACCCAACGGCAATTTTCGGGAAAATATCTGTTCAGAAGACGATTTGAGATCTAGCATTTTCGAAGCATTTGTTGTAAAATTTCTTGCTTGCCTGCCTCTCCTAGGATTTTCGAACATCTACAAAATGGTATAATTACCCATTTTTAAAGGATTTTGACCCTAAAAAAGACCACCTAGAATTTTCGGGAGCCTTTTCCTGGCTGAAATTTTCGAGAAGGTAAGTTTTTATCCCTATAATAATATTTTCGGATCACTAGACTTTCAGCTAGGAAATCCGAACAGATGAAAAGTTTTTAGGGGATAAAAATATGCCTATATCTACAGTTTGAATACTAAAATACGTTCAACAATGCTATGTTTAAGTGGTTTTGAACTATATTCTCGTTGGGTGCCCCTGACTTATTAAACTTGCACGCGCCAAGCTTTGTTTATGCGTTTCAGTACCTTACAATTCACACTCCCAACAGGAAACTTCGTCAAATATTTTCCGCCAAACAAGTAAAACTCATTAGGAGGAAGTCTATCACTGCTTTGACTTATGAAGCAACAAAACAAAATATTTTCAAATAACCTTTGTCATGCAATATTCCCTAACATTTTGCCTTTTCACATTATTCTTTACACCTTGTTTTCATCTCTAAAGAATATTTGCAATAAAAAAGATGTTCATGTCGCCCGGCAAACTTGTTGATGAAAAAGACGTGGGTTGCCAAGACAAAAGTGGCCCGGGTAAAATTCACGAAGTGATTCTTGTTCTTATAAGAACTGCCTGGTAGAAATGATTCAATAATTTAAACAATATTTATTTCAGAACGTGATGCTTTAAAAAAGTTTGATGTTCTAGCAGAAGTTGCAGAAGAAATGAAGGGTAAAGGTACAATAGCACATGTAAATTGTGGGTAAGTTGTATGTATGAGTTGTTGCATTAAGGGTGTAGCCTGAGAAGACAGCTTGGCATTTCTCAACATAGCCTGAGTGCAAGCTCTTCAAGGCTTTGGCCGTTGGGCAAGAAAAGGAAGGAGAGCTTGCAACTATGTCTCCGAAGTTTGAATTGTGCCTCCAATTCCCCTATTGCTCCCCATTGACCGAGCTGTCAGATTTCTGCCAATCAGCACAAAGTGGAAACAAGTGCGAATGCGCATAGTGATCGCAAAAACATGAGAAAGATCACTAATGTCATCTTCGCCAATCAGCATTTCGCATCGACTCGATGCAGATATTCAAATTCCAGAAACATAGTTGCAGGCTCTCCTTCCTTTTCCCTCCCCGTTGTAAAGCGCCCCAGAGAGCTTGCTCGCAGGCTATTCTCAATACCATTACTGGTTTCGCTGCCAAATGACATCTGAGGAACGTTAGCGCAGATATTCCATACTGATGACATATCACTGCCCAGAACTTGGGCCCTGTTAGGATAAAATTCTTACAAGTGACAGGGCCTCGAAACAGCAACTTAAGACTTGTTAAAATGGCAACAAAGGACATAAAGATGGCAGGGACATGGCCTTCTCTTCAAACTGCACAATAACCGTATTTGAAATAATTTTCAGTCTGTAGAGAGATTCTTCAGTCTTAATCTACTCAGTCCTAAACGATTTCTGACGTACAAATCCTTCAGCCAAATCATGTTGACTTGTTACCAGTCCAATAACACATATTAAATAAGAAGAAATAGAGAAATTCATCTTTTCTTAGGGAAAGCAAAGATGCCAAAAAGTTGTGCAAGAAGCTTAAAGTTCCACCTCAACCAGTCGTGTTAAAACATTACAAGTAAGTGCAAATCTAGTTATGCCATAATTTCCTTTTTTCTCAGTCTGTTCATGCAAGTCTCTATAACAGTTTCATTTCGCCAGTTTGTCTCTCTGTCAGTTAGTTCAGTACACTGTACATTTTTTTTTTCTTTTCAGAGATGGGAACTTCAATAAAGATTATGATAGGAAATTTGCAGTAAAGGTGATTTTTCTTGGTACCATGTTGTTATTTTAAGACATAACTTAATTGGAAAAATTTAAGAGTAATGTTATTGCAACATTGTGATGTATCTGTTACTGATCAAATTTGATTTAAGTTTAAAACTTTTAAACCTAGGTTGATTCTCAATTTTTTTGTTTTATAGCCGTAGCTTTATAGGGGAAAATAGAAATTGATTGATAATCAACCTAGGTTAAATCAAAATTAACCTGAAATCAAATTTGATCTGCAAAATACATGCCACAAAAATTAATGTCAAATAATAAAGAAAGTGGTGGATTTCAAGGTTGTTAATTAATTAGAGATTTGAGTTTAGAATAATTTTTTATCAGTAGATGGTGTTCTGTGTGCTTGATTTTATGTAAATTTGCTAATAAAATAATAATTATTATTTGTTTCAGTCAATGATAAATTTTTTAAATGATCCCCTGGGTGAGATGCCATGGGAAGAGGAAGACGGAACCGAGAATGTACGGCATGTCAACAATAACATGGTTGGTAAATCAAGGCTGTGCTATAAGGAAAATTAAAGAGAACCCATGTCAGTGCTCTAAACCAGTAGAATCTTACGATCTGTCTGAAAAAAGTAACATTTTCTAGTAACCCGAGAGCAAGAGTTGGGTGTCAGGGGCCACTGGGTTCTGCTAATTAAGCACAGCCCTGTAAATGTGGCCTTGTGATTGATGTCTTAGGCTTAAGTCTGGTTACTTGTTATACCGTAAATCCTCTATTAATCCCCCCGGGGTCTTAATAGAGACTGGGGGCTTATTTAATTCAGAAAAGATGATGGTATTCGCTCAAGAACAAGACGGTTGGAGGTCATGCAGCCAAGGATAAGAATCAAAATGAATGTGAACTTCCAGTTGGTAAAACCATCCTGGATCAGTCCACATGATGTTTTACAGTTGAGATTTATTAATACAGTCTCATTTATTTGTGAAGAATAATAAGGGGAGGGTGGGGGTTGGGCTTATTAATTTTCTTCCCCTGAAAAGGGGGGTGCTTATTAGAGGGGGGGAGGCTTAATAGAGGATTTTCAGTAGTTACTTTCCCTTAATTTGGAGAAAACTCCCCAGCTTTAAGAAGGACATCACCCATTACAAAAAATTTACTTATCTACAGGAAATAGATTTTCTTTCAACTGGTATTATGGGGGTCTATTTAAGACAGAGATCTTCCAAACCCTATTTTAATTCTATAGGTGGTTTTAAGTGACCTCTGCAGAAAAGTGGATTTTTTCTACCCAGCCACTTTTGACTGGAGCTGAAGTATCCTCAACAATGATGAAAGTGATCTAAGATATATTTTGTAGAGCCACTGGGCCAGTACCTATTTCCACTAACCCATTGTTAGGAGCATGGTGCTTGGGTGCAGCGGCACGTATTATACTTTTGCGGTACAATAATATTTGTTTATATTTACTTATTAATGAAAAATAAATTTACATGACAGATACAAATTGAAACTTGACTGTTAAGTTGATGAGGCAACAACTTTGCCTCTCTCTTAAGGTGCAGGCGTCCATGGTTAGTCATGCAACCAAATATAGTCACTTGACAGGAGACTAAGCAACACAGGTGCAACATTGTAGCCCTGGTCCCGGTTAAGGGCCGAGTGCCTTTGGTAAATCTGGAGGGCATCCCTTATCTTTTTTGTAACAAGATTCTTTCGCCTCGTCAAGATCCTTGCGCTATCCAGTGAGAACTTGTGGCCTGTGGCCTTGGTGTGTTCCTGGATGGCTGAGCTGGTGGGGTATGTGCTCTCGGAACCGGAAGTGGACACCAAAAGTCCTGGCTGTCTCTCCTGCATATTCTTTCCAACCAGGGGCATAGCCAGCTTTTCTACTGGTTCTAGGCCTGGCTGACTTTCATTTCCACACATCCTGAAAATTGCATGCATGACTAAGTATATGCACTGACCTCACCAACTCTTTAAGTTCTTAATCTTTTTAGCTCAACCCGACAGCACGTAATTTATTACAAGCCGTAGACGGATCAAACCAAAACAATTGTAGGCCTGGACCGACAGGTCTATGGGCTGGCCATTGCCCCTGCTTTACACAGTTACTGTGTTTCAAACAGCTACAAAGAGTATTCAAGCAGAACAGTGTGCATTCTTACAGCAAGACCTTTATCAAAGTTTTGAAAGACAAACAGTAACCTCAACTCAACTCAACTCAACACTGTTATGAACATATCTTTATAAGGTTGAGCCCCTTTCCATGATGCCTCGTATCAGGGTTACCATGCACCCTCTAACAATCATGCTCTATGGCAGCAGCTAGTAGCCCTTAGGGATAAGTCCAATATAATACCACAGAAAAATCAGAGGGTGTAGTTTATGGTTAAAGGCCCTTCTTAAGTTTAACTTTGCTTCTGTCATGTAAATTTATCTTTTGTAACTATGAATCCAGAAAACAAAACTTCCAACCACTAATTTAATGTTGTTGTATAATGATAAGGAAAATAAGCCTTGATATAGTCTGTGTACTTTCAACAGGACTTTGAAAAGCTGACAAGAAAAGAAAAAAGACCCATAATGGTTATGTTTTATGCCCCATGTAAGTAAAACTTTGAAGGAAACAATTCAATTAACAGGTAGTGTTTTCCTTTCTTTCTGTACATGCTGCCAACACATTAAGTCATTTTAAGCAGTACCATGGCACCAAAGTACATTGTACTCAATTGGCTGTTCACTTCAGTTGAATGGAGTACTGAGCTAGCAAGTCTCTGAGCCTATGGCCACCGTCCCATATGATATAATACATGCATTTCTCTCAGCAAACGTTTACCTTTCCGCTGAAGATACATTACTAAACTCTATACAGACCTTTCTACACAATACTGACATATTCTCTGTAACAACTGAGGCTGACGTTTTTATCTGCAAGTAGTTGATTCACAAAGTAAATAGAGACCATATATCTTGAACAGAAGCTATTTCTTTAATTGTGGAGGTACGTGATACATGTGGGTTCCCAGTTTTTGATTTGCAAAACCACCCAGCATTTCTCAGCATTTAACCAGCTCTTGATCTACTCTACATAAAGTCAAAATGCATTGTCCAGTTGTGGTAATTTAAAACAAAAATTGTGGTTTCAGAATCTTTTTAATATTAATATTAGGGTGTGGGGTGTAAGTATTATGTAATTATTATATGTATATTTTAAATATTAATATTAGGGTGTGGGGTGTAAAATAATATTATGTAATAATTTATTATATATGTAATTTTTAAATATTAATATTAGGGTGTGGCTACTGTAAGAAGCTAAAACCAGAATATGCTTTGGCAGCAACTGAACTGAAAGGAGAAGCAGTAGGTTTTTAAAATAATTATATTTCAATATTATTGCCTTCTTGGTCTTAAATAAGTGTATAACTATAAGGATTGCCATTGGTACCTCTATATACAGGATATGTGGGTATTTGCCTCTGTGAAGGGGATGGTTTTCAAGCAATTTAGTGCGGGATAGGATATAGAAATCAGTGAGTTTGGGTCTACAATGGAGTAACATTTTCCTGGAAACTGATCAATAATTATTGGTTAAAGGTTATAGTCTACACTAGAGACACCAGGAATTAACACTCAAAAAAATAAAATACATTTTAAAATTGCCAAATCTAAATTTACTCACAACTCAGTTTAATAGCAAAGAAAGCATTGATTTCAGTTATTTCTGCAAAATAGTGACTCTAGGTTAGGGGAAGATTTTGGGAGCTAGTATAGAGTGGCAAAATTCAGCCAAACCAGGTCTGGTATAGGTTAATGTTTCTGGGGTTCCAGTGGCACATCCCCAACCAAAAATTCATAAAGAACCTCCCCCAGGGGGAATTGATCTCAACAGGAGTTGACAGGGCTGTCATCAAGAGGCAGGGGCTGCAATTTCCCCTGGCTACTAAGAACATGGCCCCTAGCTACTTTCATAGGAAAATAGAAGGAAAATAGAACCAAAAGAAATTCCTAGCTGTCTGATTCCCCACGTGCTTGTTGCATTTACCTGCCTACCTGAAATCTTAGTGACAGCCCTGAGTTGAGCTCAGTCCTACTACTCAAGCTTAGCTGGTACTGAATCAGTTGGGCGAACTAGTTGGTAGTCATGTGTGACCCACCTGGGTCTTTCATGGTTATATTTAGATGATGCAAGAATGCTTTTCCTCCAGTAGAGTTTCTTTTAACAAAAATCTTGTGTGTGTCTTGTAGATTATGGCAGGGATGGATGTGGACACATATGAAGGATATACTGTAAGGGAGAAATACAACATCACTGGTTTTCCAACTCTTATTTATTTTGAGTAAGGCAACTTGCTATTTTAAACTCATTTTTCTGATAAACTGATTGAACTCTGACTGCTGGAAAAGAAAATTCTCCAGTGTAATCAATATTTCTAAAGCAATGCTTATAGTATGCAGTCTCATTTGGTATTGTGTGTGTTTCAATATTCTAAATGCACATTAATTTTATCTTAAGAAATGGTGAAGAAAAGTACCGTTATGGGGGAAAACATGATAAAGACTCTCTTGTGGAGTGGATGAGAAAGTAAGTTTGATATTTTTCCTGTGAACATTAATTTTAGTAGGTACCAGTGTTGCAGTGGCTACATACAGGATAGGATTCTTTATCTCACTGATTACCATAGTTCATATGTGTAAAGTTTATGCATTAGAAACAGAGCAAATCACTACTAATTAGCGAGGGTATTTAATTCCTAAATTGAGACTGTTCACCTATCAGGGAAAATGATCACCAAATCAGATGGTAAATTGGCAGCCTCCACCCCACAAACAATGTTCGACTTGTTTATCCAAAAGTTTTCCCAAGTTTCAACATTGTATAGGGTGGAAAAAGAGAACTGTATGTGTACTGAATCACTGTTCCAAGGACCTTTGTCCAGGATGTAGTAATTATCGTTCTTTTTGTGTCTCGATGTAGTCCTGCTCCTGCCACCCCTCCTCCAAAAGAAGAAGAATGGAGTGATGTTCCCAGTGATGTTGTGCATCTGTCAGACAGTACTTTTGATGATTTTGTTGCCAACAACCCCTCTGTGTTGGTCATGTTTTATGCTCCATGTAAGTACCTTTTGCTAATAGAGTTCGTACGATGCATATTCTGTGTGTTACAAAAGTTTACCAACCATCTTGAACAGAGTATAAAAGAGATGCCTTCTTCACACCACAATCAAGGATGTGGCATTAAGAACAAAAGAAGCTTCTTTCTTCTCCTTGATTTGATGTGTCGTGAAGAGGGGTGGTCTGTATGTCCCATTTATCTTTGTACAAGATACTGCTGATTCATGCTCTATGATCCATGTAAGTAAAAATGCGATTTAAATGTATTTGCATGGTCTATGTTTGCTGTAAGTTCTTAGTGATTGTAATATAAAGCATGCATGCATGTTCTTCAAAAATACATACTATTAATGACGTCAATACAAAAACGTTGAGGTACTATGTTTGGGTTAAAAGAAGTGTTTGACTCTCATGGAATGCTAGTAATGACTCTCACTGCAGTAGCCAAAGCTGCAAGTTGCCATTATTATATAATTCCAGATTTACTTTCATTGGTTTTTGGTTTCAATGTCTAATCATAGTTGCACTTGAAATCTTGTGATGGTCATTCACTGACGACTTAGTAATTCTCTTTTTTACTTTTAGGGTGTGGCCACTGTAAGGCTATGAAGCCTGAATACACTGATGCTGCCAAGACTCTTAAGGATGAACAGGTCTCTTGCAAAGCTTCATAAACTATAGGACTGAGCGGCCTTCATACAGAATGACTGAGAATGGCACTGTCTAGTTCATACTTTCCCCTGGGTTCAGCGCCATTAGGCATTATTTGTTGTGTTACTTTATCGTATTGACTAGTGAGCCGCGCGTACTGTGTTACTTTCCTGTTGGCTTTAAGTGTTCACTGTCCAAACTTTTCGCCTGTATTTTGAGTCTTTACCCAGAACTCCTTTGCTCTGTGGACGTTTCAAGTTCTTGTTGTTACTTTTCCGTCCGTTTTGATTGGATTGAGTGTTCTGTTGTTTCCAGTGCCAGATCCAAAGACCCAGAAAATTTATTGACCTTGAAGATCATCCCGACCCTTAAATCTCAGGTCGGAGGCAGGTCTCCAAAAAAATGTTTTCGGCAATTTTGAGGGGGGTCAGTTTGGTCTTTGAGTCTTAGGTCTTACGTCTTCGTTTTTAACCACCCCTGATCCCCTATCCGCCACTGTTGTCCGAAGAAATTGTTGATTTGTAAAGTTTCAGTGCTTTTGCCTCTTTTGACCCTCAGATGAAATAACTGGCAATTCCATTTTTGTGTTAGAGATGTAATATACCGAGCATGAGATGCAGTGTTTCATCACCAGATGAAACACCGAGAAGAGAGTTGAAAATACGACGCGCAGCGGAGTATTTTTGACGAACTTCGAGGTGTTTCATCTGGCGATGAAACACTGTGTCGAATGCTTGATATTACTTCTCAAACAAAATGATTTTAGAAGGATAAATTAAGGATGCAAAAATGAGCAGTTTTTCATCTGATTTCCAAACAATAATTAAGCGTTAATTTTCTTTGTATTTTCTTTATAAGTTATTAATGAGTTTGAGCTGTTTAAGTCGACTGGGACGTTCAAGTCATCTTGGGTATGACTTTAACATCTTTTAAAAATGGTAAATAAAACAGACTCTTTTTACGTCTCATTCCTTAAATTCGTCCAGTATAAAAACAGGACGCAGTATACTGGAACGCATTTTTGTCCAACTCAATTAGAAAAGACCGGGAAGAGTCAGTGTTTTGTCTTTTTTGTTGTTGTTGTTTTCGAGAAAACTCTGTTCTTTGTTCAATGTTGTTTGCATTTATGCATCCTGTTTTTACCTTGACGACTGTAACGTCTTACCCTAGGTGCCAGAGGCTTTTCGTGCGCGGTTTCCGGTTTCGGTCAACTCTTAAAAAGTGACCCGCGCGAAAAGTTTTTTCTCGCGGCTTCGCCGCTCGTGTCTTCGGCCTTTGGCCGACGAAGCTCCTCATCGCACGCGAGAAAAAACCTCTGGTACCCAGGGCAGTAACGTCTCAGCCGTTAAATGCGTCTCTAAAGTAATAACGGCCAATAGCATTATCATTTCAAAGTGGTAGTCATCAAGTGTTGTAAAGGCTGACTCATTCTTGGTGTTTTTTTTGTTAGATTTCAGGTGTGCTGGCTGCAGTGGATGCTACCAAGGAGCGAGATTTAGGAAAAAGATTTAAAATTGAGGGATTTCCAACTGGTAAATATCGCCGTGTTTCAATTCGATCTTCGTTTAATGCAATCACTGATATTTTAGTTCCCTTTCGTCACGGTTGCCACAGGTCAGGAAATGGTTAGAGGAAAAAAAATTTCTTCAAGGTCAGGGAAAAGTCAGGGAATTTCACTTCGAGTCGAGGAAAAGTTAAATCTTTGAAAGAAGTCAGGGAAAAGTGAAATTTTAAGAGTACATATTAATCTTTTTCTATTAGACTACTCTTTTTTCTTAGCGCGTCGACCTAAACGCGCGAGACACCCAAATGACCACACGTGTGACTGAAAGCGCGAGACAGGAGAGGCACGATAAAAGGGAGACTTTTTTCTTATCGGGCTGTCGCCCTCGTTTCTCCCGTCTCGCGCGGTGATCTCGGAACTCTGATCCTGACCCGGGGGTCATCCCATTGGAACACACCCTTAGATTAGCAAAACAATAATTCTGTTCGTGTATCACGCTTCTTGTGCATTTCTTTGCCGTCGTTGCTCGACCACGACTTGAAACTGTCTAATTTTACGTTTTGTGGAGGGCGTGAAAGCAACGCAATGATTTTCTACTGAAAAAAACTGTGGATACAGTCTTTTAGAAGTAGATTCTAGTAAAATTCACCATTATTTTATGAATTGAGTGACATGGAATAAGCATGGAGCGATGAATTTTGAAACAACGTGAATTCACTTTTTGAGGGAAAGTTTTCCCTACCTTCGTCGTCGTCTTCCTTAAGCTCCCTATTTCTACAGTGAAACCTGTTTATAACGAAGCCCAAGGGACTGGCAAAATATGTTCGCTTTTACGAGGTTTCGTTATATCGAGGGTATTTCCCCTATATATTTTACCATTACTGGGGAGAACAATATCGTTTTTTATACTTAGGACTTTGTCATTTGGGGTTTGTTATTTGCCGTGTTGTAGACAGTCTACTGTGCTGGTATGACCCAGGTATTGCTTGTATGTCCAGCTTCACTGCAGACTCATCATATTCTAAACTTTTTTGAGTTTTTACACACAACTATTACGGTTAATCCTCTCTTAAGCTTTCTTGTGTTAGGGGGCTTAATAGGGAATTTAGAATTCGGTCTCTCAGTTAAGAATAAAAGGGGAGGGAGGGGGGCTTAAAAGACAAGTGGGGGCTTAATAACTTCTTTCGCTGAAAGGGGGGATTTTTAGAGAGGGGGGCTTAATAGAGGATTTACAGTAAATTTAATTTCTTTACTCAGCCATATTTCTGTAAATTAAATATCATTTTTTTTCTGCTTCTCACTTGTTCTTTTCTTTTTTTCTTTCTTGCTGAAAGTGAAATATTTCAAGTAAGTAGATGTTTCGTACTTAGTATATTATATATTTATTACCTGTAACCTGTTGTCACTGAGGAAGAAGGAAAAAGACTTTGTTTTGATCATTCTTTTGTTTGATTTCCACTTACAGGGATGGCGAAGTTGCTTTTGATGTTAACGAAAGATCAGCCGATAGGATTGTTGAATTCATGAAAGAGTAAGTTAACGTGCTGTTTCTGACAGAACTCTTGGTGTTGGTTTGATCTCTTGGCTTCTTGTGCGACATTTTAACTATGGATTAAATCAGTAACAACTAAGTTTGTGATTAGACTGCCCTCGCACACGTAGCTGCCACATGGTTGCATTGATCACTGTCTCGTTGACATGCTTGTAATTGCCCGTTGCTTCACTCAGCTTAGGAACCATTTTTGACCGTGATGAATTTAGAAACATCTGATGTTTCATGGAGCTTTGCTTCAAACTGTAAGAAATCTTTGATTGAACTTTTTTTTTTAAACGGAGTTTTAAGAAAATCGCCAGCAAGTTTTCATTGCCCACACTTCACTCTTTTCTGTGGAAGAGTTACGACATTTTAAATGTTTATAGTTCCTTAATTTCGACCACCTATCTACAAACTTTCACATTTTTTCGTAATTTAATCTGGCAAATTTGTTCCTGTACTTGTTCTTCAACGATACGTTCATGTAGTATTGTCCATGACATTGCACGCAACAGCTTTGGTTCCCCAGAGAGAAATAGAAGAATCAACACCCTGAAAGAGTTTTTTATGCTTAACTTATTACCCTCTGATTTGCGAATGTTTGCTCTTAATTTCTTCAAGAATCATTGATCATTTGAAAAGCTATTAATAATAAAAAAAGAATTGAAAGAACGTTTCATCCCATATCCAAGTTCCTCTAACCCACTTCTTGGTTGGATAAAACACTCCTCATTTCTCATGTTTGACATATAACTTTAATTCCTTTCGAGTCACCCCTTTTTTTCTCTTTGACATCCTTGGGGCATCTTCTTTGAGATTGCCACTATTCGGACCCCCTAGGATTTCGCTAATATAATTTGACTGTTCACAGTCCCTTATTTTTCCGTAAGATCGCCGAGATCGAGCGCTTTGCGTTACGGGTGGCCATCTTTGTTTCAAATGTACTGAGTGGGCGGGCCTAAGGATTTTAGCTTGGGCGTCCACCCCCACCCCCCTAGGTAGATTTGATACCCTTCCCCAGCTAGCCTCGGTACTTTTGAGAACAAACTGGCGGCCCGTCAGGGTAGAAGCTCGATCTCGACCCTTTTCGGAAAAATAAGAAACTGTGAACAGTCTACCTAACATTTTTCTGATATTATTGACAGATCAGAATCTCTCTGTCAATTTTTTATTGGTTTGTGTCTGTATATTTAGCCCAAAAGAACCCCCTCCCCCACCCCCTCCGGAGAAGGACTGGAGCGAAGTTGCCAGTGATGTGCATCACCTTACTGATGAGACATTCAAAGGATTTCTAAAGAAGAAGAAGCATGTCCTGGTCATGTTTTATGCTCCTTGTAAGTGAAGCAGTTTTTAAAGCTGTCGTATCTGTCCCTTTTCAGACTGTAACGCTGGTTCTCTATCCAAGTTAGAGAGCTTAAGCTACGACGACGACGACGACTGGGACGAGAACATAAAAAAAGCAATAGGTTTTGATTAGCAAAATAACAACTTTGCACGTGCCTCATGCTTTTTTGTACATTTCTTGGCCGTCGTTGCACGACCAGGACGTGAAACTGCCTAATTTCAATTGAGCGGCTAGGGACATGCGGGCAGAGATTGAGCTGCGTGTTTCTGGGGGCACTGCCTTAGTACAAGTCTAAGTCCCAAGTGTGCTACTGTAGTTACTTTTTTGTGGGATTTGCAAAACGCTTAGGTCCAGAGATGCCTTATTACCTCACCATCACAAAAAGTGAATTACCAATTGATGGTACCACATCCACACCGAGCGCAAAGAAGAAAAATGTACCAGGGAAAATGCCTGTTGTTGTCAATTTTGTGTTTGTACGAAAAGAGTGATGAATTAAATGCAATGGTGAGGGGAAAGCCTTGTCCCAAAGTTAAAACTGGCAGTTCTGGTATGTAACGGCCTGTGGTCAAACCGCAGCGAAACTAGCTCAGTTGGTAGAGCGCTTGACAGCGGAGCGGGAGATTTCAGGTTTGATACGCGGGGCCCGAATCCCCGGGGCCGGATCCCGGTGCTGCTTTTGTCTGCAAACGGCTAAACCTTCGCGAAGCTTGGATGACCTACGAAAAAAGCGGTGCCGTCTCCACTAGGGTACGTAAGACTAGTGCCCGTAATTAGTACCCACGTGATAAAATACATTGACGCTCCAGTAAAGTACGTTTCTTTTGGATCTAATTTAGGGTGTGGTCATTGCAAGAAGGCCAAACCGGAATTTATGGATGCTGCTAAGCATTTTGCAGACAATAACAAGGTATGTTTGTATGTTTTTTTAAAGCTTCTTTGCCAGAGCTTTAACTAGGTAGTATCTAGAAGGTAGACCAGCTCTCTTATCTGACCAGCGGACAAAATGAAACAGACCTTCTAATCATACAGACGTACAGTAATGTTGTAGCTGTCAAAAGCGCTTGGGTCTCTTATATTCATGTTAGGTTCAAGTTACTATAGAGTGTTTTCACTGGACGTCACGGCGGCCATATTGGTGTCCCAAAACAATGAAACGGCGCCATGTTGGTGTCCCAAACCAATCCTTTGGGAGTTGAACTCTTTTCTTATGTAAACGCTTTCTTTTATTGCAACAAATTTGCATAGATGCTGACCACGTGAGTGAAAACACTCTATTACAAAAACCCTCTGAATATTGTTTACTCTAGTTACGTTTTTGTATCTTTTGTTTTAACAGATTGAATATGCTGCAGTTGACTGTACAGTTCATACATCTGTTTGCAGCAAATTTGATGTTCAAGGGTATGATTCTAGTTCCCGTTATTTTCCGTATGATTTACGTGGACACGAGGATCAAAGATTTTTTTCGCGCCACTTTTTTCAACCAATCAAAAATAAAACAAAAACTAATCGCGAATTGCTCACCCGCGTTTTCCCGCGTAAAGAGCTGGCTACATTCGCTTCGGAATTTATTTATTTATTTTTTTTTCGCAATCTGATTGGTTCATGTGATTATCAGCTTGTGTTTTGATTGTCAGTGTAATTATGTGTACTTTTGTTTTGATTCAGACGTGCAACCAGAATATTATTTTCAGTATTTCATTTTTCAACAAAAATGTGTTAACTAGATCTTTCTGGATCCGGTAGTTTTGTTTTGCTGGTTGACTCCTTGCTGTTACTTTTCGAAATCACTCTTGTGCCCTTGTCTTTCAGTTACCCAACCTTCCGCTACTTTAACTACGGCAAGAAGGACTTCAAGTATACTGGGGGTCGGGTGGCTGAAGATTTTATTCAGTTTATGAAGGATCCCAGTGAAGGTCCCCCGTCCCCACCCCCTGAGCCGGAGTGGAAGGATATACCAAGTGCTGTGAACCACTTGACAGAAAACACCTTCGACATGTTTGTCAGGGAACACGAGTCGGTCCTGGTCATGTTCTATGCACCATGTAAGTTTAAAAGATAATTGTGCTTTTGAAATGAGATATGAAGTGATATTTTATGACGCATCTTAAGTTACGACGACGCCGACGACAGCAAAAACGTCACTTAAAATGTCAATTCACGCTCTCCAAAATTGGAATTCTTGACGATGCTATCTTAATTCTTGTCTTAATTCAGAAGAGGTAAAAGGAAATTGTCATCTTTGAAATTAACAAGTTTCACGTCGAAATTGTTCAGTGACGGTAAAATAATGTACCAAAAAATGTGACTCGTGTGCTAAGTTTAGAAAGCTTTTTCCTTTTTTGATTTTACCGTTGCCATTGTCCCTCGTGGTTGCTCAAACCTTCCTATTACTGTATACTGAATTGACCAGTCCAGAAAATACCATGACATACCATGATATTCTTTGTTTTAAATGGCCCCAAGAGAAACTGAAAACAATGCTTATGCAAAATTTTGGGGTGACAAACAAAGAACATTATGGTATGTTATGGTATTTTCTGGAGGGGTCAATACAACAACTTGATCTTGTTATGTCAACTTTTCAGGGTGTGGTCACTGTAAGGCCATGAAGCCAGCGTACATGGATGCCGCACAAGAATTAGCAAACAAAAATGTAAATACCTCGTTTAGACCCATCTAGAGCTTTTTAATCAATTGAAGAATCACTGGTCAATTGCCCTTTTCCAATAACCGCACCTTAAGATTTCATTTACATTCGTGAAAACTAGTCCAACATGAAAAGACGTCGCCCTGTTTGCGATTATAAGTGTTTTTTTTTTCCCATTTATCATGATTAACGTTTACCACAGGTTACTCTTGTCCTGCACTTTAACAAAACCGAGTGTGAGTTGAGTTGTTAGTAAAGATAATTCTTGAGAATGTTTTGCGATAAAAAAGTAATCGTATGCCCCCATCTTTGTTGGTAGTTCTCAGTAGGTTTCCTTTCGAATCCACCTACATTCTAGTCATGCGCATTTTATTCTTTAAAATCTTTACAGGCTCGTAGCGTATTAGCCGCAGTAGATTGCACAAAGGAGACATCTCTGGCCAAGAGGTTCGATATCGGAGGATACCCTACACGTAAGCTCAGTCACAGCTCAGTGTAATTCGGTTTAGCTTTAGTTTCACCCTTGCCTTGGTTGTTTAATAGTGTGTCTTTGCAAGTGTTCAAATTATATAAACCTAAAAGGTATTTTAAGTACGCTTTCAGGCTATTAGAATTGCTTTTTGATAGTTGCCAGTTCACTAGTTAAGTTTTATCGACTTAAGTCTTGGAATCTTGCAATGATTCAGTTATAATTAAGCTTTAATAGTATTACACCAATCGTACTGGTGCAGCCTGCATACTAGTCTCCTTTACAGCCACTGGGGCCGGAGTCGCGATGCAATGCTCCCTGTCCCCACCCGTCGGGGCGGGAAGCGTTGCGTGACTGCGGCCCGAGCGGTAGCCTTAGAAAACTGCCGACATTTTGCGACGCCAGCGACGGTTGCCCAGCGAAATGACGTCTGAGAAACGAGCGGCGGAGAAATTCCATATTGGTGACGTGTCTTTATTCAGATCTAGGCAGTGCTTATGATTGGTTGAAGCAAATTTTCAACCAATCAGAAGCACCACTAGTGACGCGTCATCTGTGTGGAATTTCTGTACTCATTTCTCAGTTGAATTCATTTGGCGGGGAAACCAGTGGTAGCGACGCAAAATGTCGGCTGTTTTCTCAGGCTACCCGAGCGGCTACAAAGGAGACTACCTGCCTACTAAATGGTTAGGTTTGTTTTCCTCATTTCTGACTCATTCCTTTTTTTCTTTTTTTTTCTTTTGCAATTGTTTTTTTCACGCGATTGAATGGAAAAGTCAAGTACTTCAGGTGAGACGCACTTTCTTTGATACTTTGTTCTTCATGTAACAGCTGCCTACATTATACAGACCGGTAACAATGGATAACAGTAAAAGCCCATCTTTTTGGTTATTAGGCCTAGGCCAAACGTCCAACTGTTCATGAGACGAACCAAATTCTAATTTGGGTCGACCTAAATTAAGTAAAGATCGTCTGTTGGGTCAGACGTCGAAGTTAGGACACATCGAACCAATCAACTGAATCAGATTAAAAGAAATTTTCGTACTGATTTTCTCCCGAACGGGGCTTAACATACATCATACAACTTTTAATTAATTAGTTTAGTTCGTGGCATGGGAAGATCGACGTTTGTCCCGGAGACGATCTTCAGACGCCGTGTATCCATCTGCAGCAGACGGATAGAATGTGTTGGACTCAACTCATTCAGACGAACTTAACTGAGCCAGACGTCAAACTTTTCATGAACTTAACTCACTAAGTTTGGTTCGTCTCATGAAAAGTTCGCCGTTTAGCCTAGGCCTTACTTGTTCACCGTCGTAAAAACTTGTTATGTTTTATTTGGCAGGAAAGGTGAATTCACTTCTGAGTATATGAAATCCCGGGCAAAGGACGATATTGTCGAGTTCATGTTATTGTAAGTCTGATGTTATTTTTTCTCTGTGTTTAAGAGAGAGCGATTTTTGCGACAAAACGTACAACAAAAAAAGCAAATATGATCAAAAAGTTAAATCTTATTTGTCCTCATGTTTCTAAGGTGTATTTCTTGCGAAAGTATTTACCATGCCAAATTTTAAGCCTGTATATCTAGGAGACGTCTTGTGATTTTAAATTTGATTTCCTGGTTGGAATGTCCGCCATGACTAATTCTGTTCAAGTCGAGTGGTTGAACAGGGGGTTGGATCAAAATTGAGAATGTGGCCAATTTAGTTTGCTTCGCGGAAATTTAAACTTCCCAGACTGCCAATTCCCAATTCCCAATTTTCATTCTTATTCACGATATGCTTTTCTCATTTCTGATTGGCTGAAAAGCTTTGCTTCTGATCCGATATAGCGGACATTGGCTGATCACTTTAAAATTCAGCACAGCGACGCAAAGGGACCGCACTATATGTACATACTGTGACAAAGTTAAACTTTGCATTTGCCTTTGGTAATTATACGGTACTGGTCCTGCTGTATTTCTGTGGTTAGTATTAGATCCCATCGGCCCAAACCCTCTCGGACACCTCATGAAGTTTACACAACGTAGGATTCCTTATCGCTTCGGTTTCGAGCATTAGTGATTACTGACTAGGGTTAAGCACTGACTAGGGTGATTAGTGTTAAGCCCTGAAAATAGTGATAAGGGTTAAGCACTGACAAGGGTGATTAGTTTTAAGCCCTGAAAATAGTGATTAGGGTTAAGCACTGACTCGACATGGTTAGCTTCCATTTAGGGTTAGGGTTTTTGCTGTATAAGTTCAAATTAAATCACCTCTAGCCAGCCAATCCTCAGTGGCCTTCTGGGTAAGGTGGTGGACTGCAGACCCTACACTCCGGGTTCGATACCCAATCACGCTCTTCCAAACTTTTTTTCGTTAAAAATTGAAGAGACTTACACTTTGATGAAAGCTTGCTGAGCAGAATTTCATCTAATTGTAGCGTGCAAGCAATAAAGAATACTACGTTATGTAAACTTGACTAAGGGACTAAGGGGTTTAGCCCGATAGGATCTAGTGCTGGCCCATTTCTCCCGACTTGTAGAAACTACATATCAGTTTTTCAGCGTTATTATTTACTTCCTCTTGTAGCTCTGAAGATTCAGAACCTGCTGCAGCCAAACAAGCTAAACCTGAAAAACCGGTCGAAGTACCGTGGAGTGAGGAAGATACTGATGTAGTTCATTTAACAGAGAACACGTTCAACGAGTTTATCCAGACGCATAGTTCGGCTTTAGTTATGTTTTATGCTCCATGTAAGTTTGAATCCGTCTGTATTTGTAGGAGACTCTAACCTCATATGGCTTAAACTGACATATTCTTGAAATATATACCTCAGTGATTGAAAAAACGTCATTTGAAAAGTATAAAACATGAACGATGAGGCTTCAAAAATTTATGGGTTTACGTTAATTAGCAAAGCATTTTTTTTTTTTCAGAAAATAGTTTACGTTATCCTGATTAGCGCGAGTTTGTCGTGCGGATGGAAACTCCAGTAGTGCTTTGTTTTAGGCATTGTTTTTTTAACCCGGTACAAAAAAAATGAGGTCTCATCCTATGATTTTCAACCGTACGTTGGCGACGTGGCTGCGCTCTAGCTAACTAGAGAGATCTGACTAAGAAACATTACCCAAACGTTAAGTTGTCGGTTGATCGCCAAAAAAACTGAAAAACGTCCGAACTTGGTTGGAATACATCGGCGCGAGGAGCTCCTGATAGTGAAATCTTTTCCGGAAAGAAGTTTGAATTTGCAATGATAAATCTGTTAGGCCTCGTGGTTCATGGCTTACGCTTTTCAGGCGACAACGTTTTTTTCAATCAGATGTATATATGGATATTGTCCAAGATTTTTGGAATCATTATACGTCACTGGGAAACTGCCCACCTACCCCTCCCCCAGGGCAACATTTTGCCTTAAGTGAGAACAAGAGAACATAAAACACTTGTTGAGAAGTAAGTGATAATGTTGGCTTAGGGGAGGGGTAGGTAGGCAGTTTCCCAGAAACGAATAAAGATTCTTCTGGAATCATATTGACTTAGACGAAGTCGAGGTCGATAAAAATGCAGAAAATAACGAGGCCAGCATTCAACCGTCTTGTCGCAACTAGCTCGGCCAATAAGAGAGTGATTATATGGCCAGAAAGAGAACTTTTCTTGCGGGACCAGCCCGTGAAATCCTGAGCGGGAAGAGGAGGCCCATCTTGCCCGCTCGGGTAGCCAATCAGAACACAGGATCCTCTTCATCTCACCCGCTTGCCGATTCTGCCATTTGATATCGTTATCGTTGCGTGAGTTGTATGTTGTTCATCATAGATTTACCCCAGAGATAATAATTTGTTATCTGCCTTGAGAGAGATGATGTGGAGTGAAGGGTTTTGCTTGGAGAAACAACGCCACACCGGCGTAAAGCTCCCATCTTGAAAACTCTCAAGTCCAACCCCCCAAAAAACTTTCCCTTACATATGGGGCTCTATTACTTGTTGGCTCTTCTATTCCCACCCAAGTCACATCTTCACTTCTCGAGGGAATCCTGTCTCGACAAAACTGCAAGAGACCGCTTATTCCCATGCTCCTCATTTACCTCGCCAGCTCGAGAACAATATTTCAGTGAATTATGCGGATAAGAAAAAGAGATTTTAAAGAGAAAAAAAAATAACAGCCTTTGGCGTGGAGGAAAGGTTCGATATTCTGCCGCCCACTTCAAACTTTAATTTATTTTCTTTCGTTTCAAAAAGATATATTACTACACTACTTTGCGCTTTTCCTAAGTTTTTGTTGCGAGTTTCCATATTGTTTCTATTGTTTCGCACACGAGGACAAATTTTGTTGTCTTATTAAGAAACGGTCCAGATAAGAACGATAGCAATAACGGCAACGAACATGTTGGAATGCAAAAAAGGTGCTAACTTTTCTATTGTCTGTACTTACTTCTGATTGGCTTAAACAGCAAAAGTTAACAAAACTCCATAAAGCGGTACATAGAATCATCCTTACTTTCCAACCATCTTCCATATAACAAAATCTGGTCTCAGTTTGAATAACAAAGAAATCCGATGTGGGGAACATCTAAAATTGTAAACTTTTCTTGGCTATTGTTTTCAACTCTTGTGATTGATCAAAATCTTTTAACACAAAAAAAACACCCTTTCAAAGTGGAGTGTAAATGCATTTTATTGCGTAAACGGCCTTCATGTAGGTTTATGCATTCTCTGTGTAAAAATGAGAATATTCCTATGTGGGGAAATCACCTTTGCCGCGTAACAAAAGAAATTGCTATCCACCTTACCCGGATCATTACTTAACTACTCCTACCCGTTGTTTTGATTACACTAGGGTGTCCGCACTGCAAAAAGATTAAACCGGAATATTCTTCAGCGGCCAAAAAAGTGAATACTGAGAACAAGGTAGAAGGCGCTATGGGTGCTGTGGATTGTGCTACAGAGACAAACCTGTGTAAAGAACAGGAAGTTAAAGGATATCCCACGTGTAAGTACTTTTTTTACTTCCTTTCCAGGCAAACCTTGTTTAGCAGCGGCGTAAGAGCCCGTCACTTTAGGGGTACTCGCCACTTTAGAATCGAGAAGGAGACTGGAGCCAAAATGCGCCCCGCAATTGTTTCTGGGATCGTTACTGCGGATGCGCCCAGAAGTCTTTGCAAAAGTTAACTCGGCTCAGTTCCCGTCTCGTCTCGAAAGTGGCGAATTTTGGCGGTATACTCCACTGAGTTGAAATAAGGCTCGGGGTCAAGCAAAAGAAAGGGTGGCGAGGGGGGTAACAGTCAAACGTTAGGGAGCTTAAGCAACGACGACGGCGACGTCAACGAGAACGGCAAAAAATTAATAGGTTTTAGATTGGCAAAACAACAACTTTGCACGTGCATCACGCTTTTTTGTACATTTGTTTGCGGTCACTGCACGACTACGACGAGAAATTGACTAATTTCACGTTTTGTGGAGGACGTCGGTGAACACAAGACAACGACTTTACTTTTCTTTTCCTGAACTTCGATAGAGTCTGTTAGAATTCAACTCCCAAACAAATTTCCAACATTTGAGGCACTGAACGAGATGGAATGAGAACGATAAAGTTTGAAGCGGTGCAAATTCACTTTTTAAAGGGAACCTCTACTTCAACAAAAAGATAACTTTAAATCACAGGAAATAACTGTTACAGTCAAGTCAATCTAAAATATTTTTAAAGAAAGCGTTTGTATCCGAAAGAAATAACTTTTAGATTCGCCTATTTTTGTTTTCAAATTTTGCGGGCGTCGCCATCTTGAATAATTGTGACGTGTTATGGTTGCCCTATTGTTATTAAACAAAAGCTCTTTGTGTCAGAACAATAGAGCAACCGTAACACGTCACAATTATTCAAGATGGCGGCGCCCGCGAAATTTGAAAGTGAAAATAAGCGATTTTAAAATTGACTTTTCCTGATATAAACACTTTTTTTAAGGACAAATTTCGAACAAATTTGTTTATCAACATAATTTTATTCGATTTGAACTTATTCTGTAGTAAGAGTGGAGGTTCCCTTTAAGTGACGTTTTCGTAGCCGTCGCCGTGATTGTTGCTTAAGCTCCCTATTTACAAACGCCATTGCTAATTTTACTTATTTTTCTCCTTTTTTTCTCCATTCTTTACATCTTTCCTGGATCAGTGAAATACTACAAGTAAGTAATACTTGTTAGAATAGTAAGTAGAGCTCTTGTGAAAAAAGCCTGCAATTTTCGTTTGCTTACTCATATGTAATAAATCTTCATTAAATTGCTTAGCTTAGCTTTCTGTTTTCTCTCGTGCTGTTTATTTGGCTGAAAACTTTCGTCTGTTTTAATTTGTCTAGAATGTATTGATATGTTAGTGAAGATAATTCGAAATCTTTGGTAAGGCAGAGTCAGACGCTCATAAATAAAAAAAAGTTACTAAATAGAAAATAATCATGTGTATGAGCTGATAGCTTATTACATGAAATTTTCGTGACATGTTTTATTCGCGATTTTGCAAAAATTTTATATTTTGAATCACTTTAAATTCGCGTGTTTGAGTACAATAATTCACATTTCATAGGCAATGTTATTAAACATGTCTTTGAATTAAATATAACCACTTTATTAAAGGAACAAGAACGTCAAAATTAAGAAAAACCAAGCTGTTCTCACAATGTTCACAAGCAGTTCGTACTTGTACGTGAATCATTTTTCTTAAGTCAATTGACCGCAACATCCATTTACACTGAAAATTCATCAGAAAAGTAAAAAACGTGATTTGTAAACGTTCCAGTGGTAAGAAACTTGCTCTTTCTTGATTATGGTGAGTGCGGCATTTAATTTTCGCGTGACTTTAATTTCGCGATTTCTTTTGTATCGCGAAATTCGCGAAATTAACGTGTCGCGAAAATTTCATGTAATAAGGTACCTAATTTGGAATAGAACATTATTATTGTTGTTGTTATTATTATTATTATTATTATTATTATTATTATTATTTGTAATTTGCAAGTAAGGGATAATGTGTTGTAGAGTATTCATTAATGCAGAGTCAACTTCTTGTGCAGAGACGGCGAGTTTGCCTTCAAGTACAAGAAGAGAAAAGCGGAAGATTTGGTGGCTTTCATGAAGAAGTGAGAGGCTTGTGTTTATTCTTTTTTTAATAGTGGATAAAAGCCTGAAGTTTGATCGGGCTCTCTCCCCAACAGAAGGGCGCGCCCCTACCAACTGTGCTAATCCTGGCTTGTACACAAGAAGTTTTGAACCAGCTTCCCTCGCAGCCTCGTAATAGCCAATAAAAAGTAATTTTTCCCCTAAGCGTCCCATAACGCAATTGGAAATTAAGCCGGACTTTTCTCACTTTTAATTCTCACTGTTCACAGTCCCCTATTTTTACGTAATTTCGCCGAGATCAACCGCTTTGTGTTACGGGCGGCTGTAGTGTACAGCGGTTGTATGAGCAAGAGTGCATAGCGTACAGCGGTTGTACGTGCAGGACATACGGGAACTGAACAGTGTGAGCGGGCATAGAGTGAGTGAGTTGACCTTGGTGTCGAGCAGAGCATCGAGCATCGTGGATGAGTGTCAAATCTTCGTAGGGGTGGGGGATGGTTTGGGAGGAGGCGAGAAAGTCCCTCTATTTTTCTCGCACCGCTTCCCCCACCGCTATAAACCTGAACGTTCGCCCCTTCGGTACCTACTGATGAAACCAAGATAGCCGGCCGTACCGGTAAGCGCTCGATCCTGACGATTTTACGTAAAAATAGGGGACTGTGAACAACCTAACGTTTAATCTCAAAATGGCCAGTACTTATGAAACGCAATTATTGCATGTAGGTAAAATGGTTTACTGTGAACAATTTTTAGTTGCGACTTAAATTATGCAGAATTCCCCAAAATGTGGCGTTTCTGCCAAGGGTCTGGGCCCGGCTGCATCAACCTACACTTAAGTGCCCACTTAAGTAGGTCACTTAAGAATCCGTTACGGGTACATTTACGGGTGTTGCATGGAACGCACTTAGCACTCTCGCAAGTTTCTGTTTTACGTGGTAACTTACGGGCTCGCTTAAAGGGACACGTAACTTTGATATAGTACTTCATTAATGACTCACTCTTTTTTTTAAAAGCTAACCATCGGTGAGTGTAAAGCGGAAAGTTCTAAATCGTTTCGAAAACTTTTAAGCCTCTCAAAAATATGAAATTTGCATGCAGACGTTATTTTTCTTTAATATCTACTGAAAACTCGGACTGTTCTTCTTTTTTCGCAACGCCGGCTTTGAAGTGTACATCAGAGGTTAACAAAGCGCATTAGAACGAATAACGTGAAAAAAAGATACTTCTTTTCACTTCTCAGTAAAAGATCTCGTTAAGTTTAGTAAAAACAGTAACGATGTAGGTCCCGTAAATTTACGTGCTATTTTTCCCGTAAAAAAGGTTTTATGCAACACCCGCAATTTCTGTTGCATAAACGACACTTAAGTGAAAACTTACGAAAATTGTAAGTGAAACCACTTAAGTGAATTCCCTAAGTGGACCACTTAAGTAATTTAATGCAACTGACATAAGTTACGAGTGCACGTACGCGTACCCGTACATGTTACGGGCGTTTTATGCAACCGGGTCCTGATGTCGAGCTAAGGACCTGTCTCCTGAATTTACTGTGTGACCTCTGTATTGGACTCACTGAAGCTTTTCGCGAAGCGGTTCCAGAGTTAAGCGACCGTGACAATGACTCCATAAACCGCCGACTAGTCTTAATCTTGCTTCGCTTTTCAACATTGAAAATAAAATTGGAAATTCGCCATTTGCACATCTCCCATAATACACCTTGTTTGTCCCCAAAAAAATGCACAACCTTTGTTTTTTCATTTCTCCTGGGTATTACAGCCGTCCCAGGACAAATTCTTATGCAACATCTAGGGGAGCTAACAAGATGTATTATGAGAGATGTTCAAATGGCGAGTAGAAAAATATTAACGCGCAAGTTTCCTTTCCCAGTCCCCAGAAGCCCGCCCCTCCTGCTCCGCCACCCGATTGGAGTAAGGAGCCTGGGAAAGTGCAGTTCCTCACGGACAAGACCTGGGACTCGTTTATGGCGGATCATTCGTCAGTGCTAGTAATGATGTTTGCTCCCTGTAAGTGAGAACCAGAACTTTTTAGCAATTTCCTTATTCCTGTCTTTTCCTGTCACGTCAATTTTGTTCTCTCTTTTCCAGCTAATCGTATCTCATTTCCTTCATTGAATTCCATTTTTCTCCTTTTCATCCCACTATTCACAATTCAACCTTGTCGTCCATTCCCGTTCATTCCATTTCATCTGACTCATCTTCTCCCTTCTTTTCAGGGTGTGGTTACTGTCAATCTATGAAGCCAAACTACTTCAAAGCTGCGGAGATTCTCAGTGAAGAAAATGTAAGTGGTAGTTTGACTCTTTTTCATTGTGGAAACTTTCCTTTGTTTTCCTTGGCATTCCTTTTTGGGAAGGACCATCGCTATTTTCGTGTACTCCTAGTGGTTTGTAATTTTCCAGGGTATCAACTCTCTCTTACACCATCGAGTTAATAAGAAATTTGTTCTTCTATTGTAGCCGTCTACTTCATTGGCTGCAGTTGACTGCACAAAATATAAAGGGCTTTGTAAACGGTTCGAAGTGCAAGGATATCCTACAGGTAAAAAGTTAATATCAAATGTTTTCGTTAGATAAATAAACACCAAGAGATTGCCTCGTTTATCTAATCCTCTTGTTTTCCTTTCATTTTTGTTTGCTTGTCATTTCTTAATGGGGAGTGCAGTGAAATACTTCAAGTAAGTAGCAGTATTTATCCTTTTCAGTCTTTGTTATTGTCGTTTTCGCTGTAACTGTTACCATTATTTTCATTGCTCTTGTTGTCCAATTAAGCGAATTCTTTACCTAATTTAATTTTCCCTATTTTGACCTTTTTTTTTATAGAAATGGCGAGTTTGTAAAAGAGTATGAAGGCGATAGATCTACGCTTGATATAGTCAGCTTCATGAAAACGTAAGTCATCTACTTTTTTCTCGACTTAACCATCTTTTTCAGCGTTTACATTCTGTTCAAGGTATCTTTTACATCATTTTACCAATTGAATCTCTGCAATCTCCTAGGGAGAGTGAAACTGAAGTCCCCGAAGAAAAAGTATCTAAAGAGGAAAGCAAAGAAGAACTAACAGAGCCTGAAGGATTAAAAATTTTGACAGCTGCAAACTTTGACACATTCCTGTCTCAGACAGAACACGTGATAGTCATGTTCTTCGCTCCATGTGAGTACAAAGGTCGTATTTACAATGATCTTAGTCCCTGAGTTTAAACCAGTTACAATTCAGTTACAATTCATGTCCCAGACTAGACACGTGATAGTCATGTTCTGCGCTCCATTCAAGTGCAAAGGGCGTATTTTCTGATCCCAATCACTGATTTTAAACCAGTTACAATGAATGTCCCAAACACAACACATGATGGTCATGTTCTTTACTCCGTGTGAGTACAAAGGTCGCATAGACTGAGAGTTTAATCCATATACAACTTAACTAAACTCAGATCAAAGTTTCTTTGTTGGCATGTTTTTTGATAATGAGTATAATAATATTAAGTTTATGATTCTGATTCTGAATGTGATTTTGGTATTATGAAAATGATTTTGGGTACACTTTCGACTATTGCTCGGTTAGTGATGGTTGGAGATACCCTGCGTGACCTATCTTATTGCGTTCCACATTCTTCTTGACTATTCTTGCCTGACATGTGTGGTATATCCTGCGTGACTTATTCTGGTTGAGACATATTGCGTGACCAATCCCTAACGACTTGCCGAGCGTGACGATTCATGAGACAGGTGTCTTATTTAAAACATACCCACACAAACGACTGCAACGTTTTCCGATTCCATGCGATCGAACACCGCTTTGCAACTGAGCTCTGATAATGTCTCAGTATGTAGCAAAATGGCTCAATATGTAGCGAAATGTCTCAGTTTGCTTTCGTTACTGCAAGCCCCATTGGTGGAAGCGAAGACCAAACCAATACTGGTGCGACGTGTCAACTCTGCTCTTGTCAACTGCTGTGGTGTGTTCTTTGTTTTGCCTTGGTACGTGTGATATCTTCGTGACCTTTTCTGGTTATTTACTTAAACAGCCACTCTGAAAATGTTATTTCCTTTGCATTTAGGGTGCGGCCATTGTCAAAACGCTAAACCCAAATTTCTAAAAGCTTCTGAGGTTTTTACTGCGGAACCGAACAAAGCTTTCACCGCCGTGGATTGTACACAGGATACTGGTAAATACGTAATTAAATTCAAATGCAAAATAATTCAAAACTTTCTGCTTATTTCAACACCGTCGAACCTTCATGTGCGACCACCTCTAGTAACAGACAGCCTCCCACAAGAAACCACCTATCCACAAGACTAAAGTTTTCCAAGTCAAATTACTATAGTTGGAACCTCGTAAACGACCACCTCTGGTAAGCGACCGAAACCACTTTTTGAGGAGATAGTCCCGAGGGAGAGGGGGCTACTCCCTTATATTTACCTCAAAGGTATGTGCCGCCCCAAAGGGTAGGGTTTTTGTGCCGTTTTGGTCTGAAAACGAGTATAGACTTTGCCTGTTTTAGTCTGAATTCGGGTATGGTTTTCGAGGAAATGCATGAACATTTTTTCGTTTCAATTCCAAATGAATAAGAAAGGAAGAGTAATATGCGAATTCGAGGTGGCTTTAAGAAATCGTTTTGTTTGCGTTCTAATCTAAGTAATGATAACCTACCTGCGTACGCCAGGTCTGAAAACGGGAATGGATTATAGAGGCCAGGGCTGAAAACGGTTGTGGAAAAAGACAATTTTTTGGTCTGAAATAGGGTCAGGATTTGGAGAACCGGGCGGCACACCCCCACCGCAAATTCCCAGGAGTACCTCCCCGAAGACAGTTTAAACATTTTGCCTTGTTCTTTAAGTCCCAATAGTGACCAAGATCAATTTTCTCCCAACAATATCCATACACTGTCGAGAGATAAGTTATGAGAATTAACAAGATGATCACGCAAGAGAAACTGCTTTGATCTATTATCAAATTCTCTCAACTAATTCTTTAAGGAAATGTATGGAGATCAGTTTGGAGAAATTGTATTGGATACTGCGGCTTAAAGGGATAACTTGTTCTAGGCGATCAGTTGACGCGTGGTCTGATCTCTCTGTTAGTTCACTGTATGTACTGCGCATGCGCTACTCATACGTGCGTACGAAGAGCTTTTAATGACAACACGCATCGTAAATTCTCCTTCTCCTTCCCTCGGGACCCCTACTCGGAAAAGACCTCTTGGTTCGATTCTTCTAAGCGTCCACTGAAACTTCGCATTTGGAGTGGTCGCTTGCGGAAGGTTCGACTGTATCGTTCTATGCAGGCGGTGACATTTTCTAATTTACATTTAAGACTGAATCCACCAGGAAATTGAGTAATTTTAATTTTTAGTGGACAAAAACCTTTAAGATTTAATAGATGTAATTCTTTAATTATTTTCAAACTGACATCTTGCGCATGATTTTCAGAACTGTACCTGTTTTTCACAATTCTTGTGAAATTTGACATTTATTTTCTCGGCGACAAACAGGGCGTAAATGGATACCCGACCATCAATATGGTTTAAATTAATTCAAAAGTTTGGCGCTTTTATTAATTTAATTTCTTGATGGTGGATGACGATGGTGACAGAACAGAACAGGACCATTGTGTTTGGCGTTTTGTGGTGATGTGGCGACCTCAGGACTTTGTGTCACCCTCCTCCCCCTCCCCTGATCAACCTGAGAACGAACCAGACGCCAAGAGAGACGAATTATAACTATCGAAAATGTAGGTTAGGCTGTTATGAAATTTTAGTTCACATCCCCAAACGGCAGCGAACCGTAGCGTCTTCGCGGCAAGTGCAATTCTGGGATACTTTCACGACGTTAATCGCCAGTTTTTATCATGTCGAACTCATTGCTTGTCAGCTGTTTTCAGTAAATGTCGTGATACTTTTGTTGCCAGCCTCTTACGTAGACGCTCTTTTGGTTCGTCAGAATATCTTGTAAAGGATGGTTTTATGCATGCGCTTCACCAACCGTTAAAGAATTTGTCCATGTAACTACCCATAGCACGCCAATTTTGTCTGAATAGGTTTTATCTCTTACTCTTTTAGAATCGACAGATATTTCTAAAGGTTCTTTTTGCGAATTCTATATGTTCCAGTTTTTAATTCATAAAAACATCAACCACCTTGAACAAAGTTCGCGATTAGTGCCAGGACCGTACAAGAAACAAAATTTTACTCGCAACATATACTCACTGTTGGTCTTCATTAAGTAATGGGAGCTTTAAGAAGGCTCCCAAATTAATAACTTTATACTAGCTCAACATAAAAATTCCCGGGAGATCTTCTCTCGAAGAAGCCTCGTGCTTAAATTGATGGCAGCTCATTGCTTTCCAGTCAGCAAATTAAATTAAATTTTTACGGCATGGTCATACACTGGGTACAGTTGTGATACATTCGATAAATACTATTTTCTAAGTGATATTTTTGACCGAGTTTTATCCTGGCGAAAATCCGCCATTACATCTTGTATTATTGATCGAAATAAATTAACTCATATTGCATTATGACTGTGTTTCTGGTACTCAGGAAGTGGCTGTCGCAGTTTTTCGTTAATGCGCGAAATTTTGACGAAAGAAATACGAGACGTAGAGGATTCCCCACTTCAGAAACTGCAACCTCGTTCGCAGGGTTCTCCCCTACCCGTCCCTACGGGGCGAGAGAGAACCTGGGAAGGAGGTTGCAGAAACACTAGGGAGGATGGGCACAAGCTTTGGGTGCAGTGATTTCGGGGATTTTTTGGGTTATGATTGGTCGATGTTATTCAAGGCAACCATTAACCAATCATACCGCATAGGATTTCTGAAACGCGGAGCGGAGCTGCGCTGCGCCGATCCCCAAAGTGCGTACTGGATAGCCTTTTGTGGGTCACGAAAGCTATTCGATACAGTGTGAACGTAGCCTTAAATATTCAGTTTTGCCCAAAACGTTTTGTAGTTGGCCTTGTTTTAAAATTGAGGGGGGTTGGAAAAAGGAAATGGCCTAATTTGATAGTACTGCGGTTCTCTGTAGTCTGTAGTCCCAGTGTTGACTTACACCAAAGTCATGGCTTAAAACACAGGAACTGCAACATGACAATACCGTTTCTCCATTGGTCGTGCCTACAAACGGAGGCGCCAAAAACCGAGTGCGAAGGGCAAAAATGTGAGCGGAACATACAAAAGCGTACCTTGCCCTGGGACTTCTTTTAGTGACAAAGGCTCTATGTCTAAAGGAATGGGGACGACTCGTTTAGCCTCAGAATTGGAGGCGTAGATGTTTGCTGGCTAACGCCTCAGAACCCAGGCTTTGTTGGTTAACGTTTCGGAGACCGGGCTTTATAGCCTTGCATGCTTGGTAAAGAAACTTAACTCTGCACTGCTTCGCTTTGCGCTGGTGCTTAAATGACACGCAAAAAAACTAAACGAAGTTGTTAAAAAAACCTTTTAATTTAATATTTTTATCACACCGTCGAAATCTACCCACAACATTTATACAAATTGAAACTACTTTACTCTAAGCACGCACTTAGCGTGTTGTGTGCAGTTCTATGTACAATTATTTTCCCGGGAAAATTACTAGTTATGCTACTTCGTACTGTCCTTGAAAAGACGCACGAAGAACGACCGAGTGGAGACTGGGGCGGGGTTTTATCGAGGTGTATTACGGGACGGTTTGGGGAACGCTAGCGCCTCTTTATTGACTAAAACGACTATTAACATAAAATTCATCCTCCAAAACAGTCCTACAACACAACAAAACAAAACACACCACCGACCCAAGCGCAAACTCAAAATAGCCAATACGAAAGGTGATTGCTATGTTGAGAAACAAAAGACCGGCTGTCGTTGCCTTCCCTTGCAAGTCTGCGGAACCAATTATTTGGGACCAACACGTTTTTGAGCGACGCACATCAACTGGAGGCCTTTTCCTCTTTTAATATGTCTTGACGCTACCAATTTGTATTGCTAAGTGTCTTTACTCTTGTAGAGACGATCTGCCCGCAAATTTGGGCAAACCCACTACCCAAGAATGCAAAACGTCTCCTTCCGGGTGACGAGCGTCGCTCAAAAACGTCTTTGTTAAAGCTCTTTAACTGTTTTTTAACGAGTTTTCGATTCTAGTTATTTGGTTTTTTCACTTGCACTCTTTTCCGAAATGAACGCTTGGATTTCTTCGTACGTATGAGTGAAACGCCTGTAAAACGACTGGCATTCTATTAATTGTACCGTCTGTTGCGACAGTACGTGCTTTGCGAAGGCGATTTTCTTAAGTTACAAGATTGCGCATGCGCTGCTCTCCGTTGAATTCTCTTTCCTTTGGGTTCTTTGAGCATTGGCCGCCGTATTCGAAGGCTGGTTAGGAGCAGGTTGAGTATTTGCATTCGTATCCCCGATGATGGCTCGTACGTCAGTTATCTAAAAACAAAAACGAGAAAACAGAGCCTTGACTTTGAGCTGGATTAATTCAGAGACTTTAAACTGTCTAACGGTGTCGAAAAATTAATAGACCAACTTCGACATATTAAAATTCATACTTGGCTCCGAGGCTTGGGGGAAAACATTTCTTTTGTTTTATTCCCCCAAGCCTCCGACCCAAGTATAGTCGAACCTCCATTAAGGCCACCTCTCTGCAACGGTCAATTTTTGGGCGGACAGTCCATACATTGAATCTTGTTTAAACCTCTTTCTTCTGTCCCAAGGAGTCCGTTGTGGAGAGATTCAACTCTAATTTTAACATATCGAAAATGGACAATTAAAGCCCTATTTCACTGCGTTTTTTGCATCGGTTCAGCAGAGCACAGCTGTGATTGTACATACCGCTAAAGTTGTTTGACCTTCTGACTGGTGTTTATCGCACATCTGGCGAAGTTGTGCCATTTTATCCTGAAGTCGCTTGTTTTGCTTTTTAAGGGTGGTCATCTCCGCTATGCCCTTCACCATTTGTGGATTCAATGAAACCTAAAATGGAAGGTCGTTCAATTAACCCAAACTCTTGCCGGTTAAGTTTTCGTGTTGTAAGGAGGAAGGCGCACGCCAGGGCTGATAAGAATGGGAACAAGATGACAATCGCCCCCGGACGTCCAAGGTTCAGTGTGTTAGTTTTAAATATAACTCAAAGATCCGCGAAGTGATGCAAGTACACTTATACAAAGCAGGTGTGATTTGTCATAGTAGTTGAAGTTCCAGGATGACTTAGGAATTGAAGAGTACATTTTCCGCAAAATTAGAGAGGTTGGGTCCTCCAAATTTCAGTTTTATAGATTAAGAAAACTTGCGTTCTGTGAAGTCTTTCATTGGTTCTCAAAAAATCCATTTCTAGAAACTGAAGCCCTTGACATTTTCTTCTAATTCTCCCACGATGTTAACTATTCTCTCTCATATACGATGTGTTTAATTAACTTGATATTGGACACCCATGTTATGGTCAATTGACAGGTGTCAAAATAGGGTATCCGCTGACCAATGTCACATGACTGTGTCGCGAACTCAGGCGTTCAAAACATTGAGGTGAATGTTTTTTTAAAATTCGCCGCAGGCTGGCAGGTTCAGGTTCATTTTTCAGGAGGAATTCAAATTGCTTCTGGCTTCAGTTTTGCTTTTGGTCTTTACTAAATCTATACGTCATCTTTTAGACTTGAACAGTACCGTAATCACCATTCTTGCCTGATTCTCTTTCTTACCTTTTGTTTAACCGTTTCCTTCCTCATTATGGCCTTGGTATCTTTTCCCTTTTTAGCTGCCTTGTTCACCGGTTTCTTCTCCACGACTTGTTTACCCCACAGCTGAACCATGACTGATTTCTCCATCAGGAACTTGATAAACTGTCATAAAACAAATCAGGGGAAAAACAACGGAGACAATAAAAAAAGGAACGGTGTAACTTTTTAATTTGCAATCTACAAACATCTAAAGCCCCAGTCGAACACTTGCAACATTGTTTCAACATAACCACAATTTTTGACCAAATATTTTTTCCAAAACAAATAACCAAGAAAAGAAAATGACCATAAACAAATAAGGAAGAAAAGAAAATAAGGTTTATTCCTGCCTATGCGGCACGTGGCAGTGCTTAAAATCAAGACGACGGGAGTTCACTACTGCTTACTGCGAAAAACGCCCACTATACGGTTTGTTCCATAAACGCCCCCTGCCTAATAGACGCGGCACGTGGCAAAAGACTAGGTATTAGCAAAATCAAAAATCACGGCGGACAAAAGGCTTTGCGTATTTCATCTTGTTCAATAACGGTACCCTGCTTTACTTCGATGTTGGGATTTGAAAGATGACCTGATAAACGCCCAATCGATGGAGTGGATATTCCGCAATTTTTAAAATTGTATCTTGGACCCCTAAAATTAAATAGACGCCCCGGGCGATTCTTACGTTATTTACGGTATTTGAAATAAACGCCCCCGCTTGTTGCCTTCCTTTGTCCAATGTCATGAAACGCCTTAGAGCGATTTCTCCATTTATTTACAAAAGTATTTGAGCGCAGGGGCGGATCTAGGGGAAAGTGCAGGGTTCCCCCTCCCCCCTCGTGAACTGCGGTTTTCTAATACAACTGGTATTCTTTATTGGTGTTGATTTCAGAACAAAAGAAAGTTCTCTCAGCGTCTTGCAACATTGTTATGTTTGGGTTCAGCCTTATACCCAGGCCAGTTCGCGCTATCCGAGTGACCAGAGGAGGCTTGAAACCGGGCGCGACAGCGCGAGGCGTCCTCGGCGAATTTTCCCGACAAGCTTGACAGGTGACGTCGCATCCGAAATCGCCGAGGACGACTGGGAACGACAGCAAATGTTGTGCCTTTTGAAGCTGTTTGACAGAGGCTTTAATGAGATAATGAGAAAGGTCTACAGAACAACTGTTCCAAACGTTTTCTGAAGTTACCGACAGCTACTAACATATTAATATGGCCTGTGATTTGCAGGCTACAAATTGTCACTTTGGTCCCACTCTCCTCAAGGTACCGACCATTCCTACCCGTTAACAGGTTCATTACCTTGGGGGTGCATTGCTCAAAGGTAAACCGTCTCTCGTAGTTGAATTCAGGATTCCTTGTTCCGGATATCACTTTGGTCTTAATGTCATCTTCAAGGTACATGGAATACTTGCAATATACATCCTGTAACAACAAAACATAATACATTCAGTTGTAAAGTGCGCACACAAAGTTAGCAAACAGAATTAAGGTGATGTGACACGGGACGATTCGCAACGACGATTTTTTGCGCATCACAGCGTAGCAATGTTGGAACAATGTTGCAACCATTCTAAACAATATCGCAACAATGTTGGAATGATGTCTTGCGCTAAAAAAAAGTCGTTGCGAATCGTCTCGTGTAAGACCACCTTTAGAGTGTTGAGCCGGCAGGACATTCACAGCCTGACCCTGTTTAAGTCAAAAATTGTTCATTTTGCTACAAGAGATCGTACTTAATGACCCTGATTCGTTTTGCTCCGCATACAGAATTAAGTAATTTTTCAAACAAACTTCATGGAATTCGATTGTTTAAAACAAATTGTTTGTACCAAAAAATAAATGTAAACCGCTCATCGCCAATCTTCACACTTTTTTAGAGGCGTCTGATCCAAAAAGGCACCATGTTCAAGACAGAAAATAGTGAAATTGTATGCACCATTTAAGACTCAAGACCCTGAAAAGTATATCCTGTTCAGCGGCACATACCCATTTAGGCCAAAGAAAAAAGGGATCATTATACTTTTGTGGGAAACTGCCCACCTACCCCTTCCCTAAGCTAACATTTTGCCCTTAATGAGAAGTAAGTGTTAATGTTGGCTTAGGGGAGGGGTAGGTAGGCAGTTTCTTACAAACGTATAATGATGCCTTCTACCTCCTAGTTTCACTACTGCCTACCGTGTATCGTTTAGGTATTCCTTTTGCACTCTGCACGCGTACCACGAAATCTAGTTTCTTTCCTTCCTACAGAAAAAAGAGACGCGAGAGGTATTAACTATATAATGTCAAAACACCTTGTATATGGTACTATGGACGCTTAAGAAACGTTTTTCTCCAATCTCTGGTGAAAGTGAGTGATAAAGCCATAAGTTGGACGTGATGAATTGCTCACCAGTTGTTGGGGGTCGTCAATGAATATATCGTCCTCTTCTGTGATTTCGTTGCCTTTATCGTTTAAGGGTACCACTTCCACCTACAAAGGAAGACCATAAGAAGAGCAAGGTAGTAATACTTAAATTGCGCTTAAATCATATGGGTGTAATCTAATGTCTCCTTTACATTTAAGTAGCCAACTTCTCTCCCTTTGTAGTCCGTGATACTGAGCTGCTCTCTCATGTCCAGCTGAAAGAAAAGTTACACAGGGAATTAAGACAGCCGAGTAAACAAATTCATTAAGGTAAGCGAACCTCTACGCTTCTGCGTCTTTTCCGCGTGCTTATGTTTGTGTCGTATGTTAAAAGCCGTCCTTAACTGGAGAGATCTACTAAACCAAAATGATATAAGTTTATCCTTTTTGCAAACTTCAACTCACCACATATCCAAGACTTTGCATTGAAACTTCCACACAACCTATAAGACTCTCGGCATCCGCACTCTCAGTGAAGGGATCCTTCTCATCCGGTAGCTGCCAATCATCGCCATCCTCATAATTCTCGAACATATCTTGCATGACAAACTTGCGGTTGATGAATTTGGTCCGAGACCACAGGTATTCTGCACCGCTTTGCAAGTCCTTCATAACTACGTAAGGCTGAATACATATAGAAAGAGGCTGAATGTAATACTTGGAATGAAGAGGGTCGCTCATATGTTTTTAGGGATCCGGGATTCCCTTGTTTGAAGGCCAGGATTCGGGATTTTAAAGCAAAATGGGGGCGAGATTAGGGATTTAAAGTACGCACGGAATGCGGGATGCCCAAAACAACCCTAGGGATTACGGGATTGAGGAACCCTTTTGGGGACCCTACACAAAGCAGGCCAAAAACGTGTACCATTTCGTCGCACAATCTGTTGTTCAATGAAGGGAGGAGTTTCGAATAACATAATCTGTAAATGTTTGTTGTAATTCAATTTTTTTCTCCTTTGTTTTCGTACGTTTTTGTAACATAATGAGGTAGAATAAAGGAAAAACACAAATACAACACATTAAGAAACGCAGATCCGAAAATGTGGTCCCGAAAATCATTTTCCTCGATACTTACCTCTGGTCTGCCATCTGGGAGACCACGAGCTTTAGCAGAAACAACTACAACTTCAAACGAAGCCTGCAAAGTAGCAAAAATGAATCAGGATCATGAAAAACTGCGAGGACCTCAACGAATAACACCAATGTACCAGAGCACCCTATATGAGGCAGACCTTGGTACGAAACAAGCACTTACAAAAACAAACTCGACAACAGTCCACTTCATCTGTTTATGAGGTATCCGAAATTGCCACCAAGAAGTAGACTCGCCACCAAGACACAGTCTACTCACATACCTAGGTGATTGGACGAGATCTCAGACAATAAACCCTGTCGACCCCTGGATTGTTATTCCCGGGAGACTTGACCTGCTTCCAGTCTTCCAATCTACACAGGCTACACAGTTGGTAGCGAGTTGGTTGCGGCGAGTCGACTTCTTGGTGGCGAGATGACCGTCAACCGTTTATGATAATGTAGCTTTGTTAATTTACCTTCTTATCCAACTCTTGACTAATAGCATTCGCTTCATTTACCATAGGCATCAAGTCAGCCAGGTCCTCACGTAACAACATTGCTTCTATAGCGGAATAATAATAAACACCTTTAGACCAAATAGCAACACTTATTTTTCCTCCAGGAAAAAAGGACAGCTTCTTTGTAACCTATAAAGTTCTAAGTACAGAAAAAAGGTTGAATCACCTTTGGATTCTTCCTGATCATCCACATCAAGTCCGGCATTTTTGGCGATTTCTTCCTGAGCCATTTCGTACGTAATATCCGCCTGTTTTACAGAAGAAGATTCCACTTCAGCCGGATGGTGAAAAACATACAAATGGCTCGTTCCAAACATCACCCTGACAAGGAAAACATGACAACTATTAAGAACGAGAGACAAGATATGCTAGGAATAATGATCAAGGTTTACACATCCTTTTCCTCGGGTCGGGTTTTAATAGCTAAGTTAATGGCAGAGTGGCCGTCTCAAGCCTTGTGAGAGGTCGTGGGTTCAAGTGCTGGCTTCCCTAATGACCCAGGGTGGCAAGAACATGTTATAATCTTTGCCTCCTTCACCCCCTTCGTCTATTGGAAGGCGACGTAGCGGAATCCAAAGTGCTGTCCATAAAAAGAATACATGGGCCGTGCACCCTTGTGATGAGCTATCAACATTTAAAACCAACCAATAATACAACGATGATCTCTGTGATCTGCCCTCGCCTTATTTAGAAAACAATGTAAAATATTGTATGTTAACAACAACCACCCAAGAAATACCTGTCAAGATGATGTAGTTCTTCCTCTTCGTCATCATCCACTGGTTCACCGTTTACAAGAACTCTGGCGTCACCAATGGCTCTGATGGTGATCTTCTTAGAATCCTCATTCTTGATTTCGCAGTGTTCCTTCTGAATACTAAACCAAATATGAATTGACCCAGACGTCAATGGCATTGGTAAAACAAGGACGCACGTCCATCTCTAAACAGCACGTCTTTTGAATACTGGTACAAGAAGAGCACGTACGATTCTCTGGTACTGTTGGATCTACTATTGACGTTATAGCAAGAATTTAATTTACAGTTCTTTCACAACAACTTACTTCAATCCAACGAGAGCAATGTCTACTGGCGGATCAGCTTTTTTGTTACCAACTTTCACAACTCCTAAAGTGGAAAGGAAAAGGGAGGTAATGATATCAGGACAACATGCAACAAAATTTAATTTCTCTAAAATAGTGGCAGTAGGAAAGTAAAGAGTTACATTTTCCAGGTAAGTACAAACATTTTCGCGCATCAAAATTGAGTAATCATAGATGGATAGGCCAATGAAATTTTGTACACTTTTAAAAGAGGATTAATTATTTTTTCATTTCTTAAGCTTGTATACATGTCGTGAAAACGCTTCGCGTCAAGATGAAAATTAGTCTGGCTTTTCTTATCATTGTGAAGCAGGCTAAAAGTAGGGCGTGCGCAAGCGCAAAATCCAAGTCTCGAAATATCAAGTTGTTTGGTTGATACAACGAGATAATTATACTTACCAGGTTTTATCATTTGCACAATCATTCCTGTCAGCTGAGGATCTGGGTTCAAATTCCACAAATGAGGGGTCGTTTGGCGCTCCTTTTTCTCAGCCTCATTGTCCTTCAGATTAGAGAAACAATACTCACGATATGAACTGGACTGGCTAAAGAGAGAGTCATTCACAGGAAGTACAGCATCTCACTGCCGTGTTAAGTGATGGGTACCTCTAAGCTGTTGGGTAGTACGTTCTATTTCTGCTTTTTATTATACTGTACAAGATGACTCAAACTTCTGAGCCGTGGACGAAATCCTACAAAGTCAATGAATATGTGACCACCGTCGGAAGTCCGCCGTCAAAACTACTCTGGTATGCATCTTATATTCATCTTAGTGTTTGCTTGCTATGTGATGAAACACTTAATATGTCCCTTGTTTATGTTACGTTTTCAATAGCTTACCACCACATAAAAAAGGAACATTTACGCGTCGTGCAGGTGGTGATTAGAGGCTAGTTATACCTTAGCGTCCTGATTGGACTCTGCAACTCGATCATCCCAGTTTTTGCTCATGTCTTCAGTTGCGCGTTCTGTCTGAGCCATCTTTAAGTAAAAAAAAAGCACGGATCAGTATCGGCCTCAAAAAAGATAACTTACTAATCATTTGTTGTTCGCAGGTAATGAATGGCTTACTGAAGCTTTGATTTCCTCTTCTATTTGTTTCCTGAGCTCCGCCAATTCTGAAAATGGCAAACAGCAAACAGATCAATGAGCAGAATCCTCAGGTAATTTTATAAATCCGCCTGTTCCCATAAGAGAGCAGCGAAGGACAACGTTAAGTAAACAAATTCGCCCAAATAACATGTTCTGGACTTACCCTCCTCGCTCATCCCTTCTTTCTGGCCCTCGTCGTCATCATCGTCATCATCATCTGCCGATAATTTCACAGCCTCCCCTGACTGCGCTTTCTTCAACATTTCCATGAGTTTCTCATTTTCCTCTTTTAACTCTCTAATCAGCTTTTCTGTTGGATCCTCGTTCACTTTAGCTGTCGTCTTGATCTGTTTCGCACGGTCAGCTATAAATTGAAAGATTGCATCATATTTTATTTTAAAATGTTCAAACTGATTATGTGTGAAGTTGACAAAACGTTGAAAGAAATCTGCCAAGAGCTCACAGGAAAAAACTTACCATATCTTAATGTTGACAGTGTTTCATCATAGTTGATGTCTGCTGGGCTGATGGCAGCAATCTAAGTAAAGACAGACATCAAACACAATGTATATCGGGTGATTCTCCTCTTTTAGACCGTCTTCTCACTGCATGCCAAGGGAAAAGTCAAGACACTAGAGAGGTTAAGCATCACGGCAAACGCGAATTTGTACCATGTGAACAAGTTTTCCCTTTGGTTGTCGTTTATTATTTCAACACATAAATTAGTAGTTTTACGCAATTTTTCATCCATAAGAATTGTTTCGAGCTGTTTTGATCTGCTCATTTTCGACTTTGAGAAAGTCTCAAATTGAGTTTGCCGTATACGTGATGCTTGAACTCTCTAATAACTGATAATTTGATATTAAGCTAGTTGAAGATCACATATTGGGCTGAAGACATTTCTGTTCTACGTTATGACAGCCTGCGTCGAAGACGAAATTAACCTCAGTTAGTGACGTCTGCGAAGCAGCGCTGATATCTTCGTTTTGAACCCAACGGACTCAATGAATTACCGGAAGAGTGTATCGAATTTCCTTTTGATTGGCAAATGGACAATGTCTTCTTTAACAGGCCAATCATGGCGTGTACTCAAATCCTGGTACACAGTTGGGGACCCAAAACAAGGATTTAGGCGCTGATTTGCTGACGGACTTAACCAAAGTGAAGTTTCGTCTGTGACGCAGGCTACTAACATTGCAGACGCGTCGTGGACCAAGGCGGTAATGTCGGTTACGCACGTACTTACTTGCGCACTTGATGGGAATACGGGACGGGACGCAAGGGACGGGAATAGCGGCTACGTCTTTAGGCGCGTACTCAAATCCTGGTTCTCAGGTGGGGACCCAGAACAAGGATTTAGGCGCTGTTTGGCAGACGGACTTAACAAGAGTTTAGTTTCGTCAGCGGTGCAGGCTACGTTATAACAGATGGCATAATCGTAACACCTGATGGGTCTTCTCATTATGAGGAAAAGGTTACAGTGAGAAGTGACAGTGGCTGGCCCATATGTAAACGATGTAGGGTGTATTGGGCACAAAAAAAAATCTAAAATGGCTTTTTTTCTTTCTTCACCAATGTACTTCATTCTCACCATCATAGTCTTGCTGTTTCCTCCAAGAGCATTCTTCAGAAGTTTTGTCAAAACTGAGTCTCTAAAGGGAACTAAAAACAAGTGATTTTAAATTAGTATTGTCTTAGAATGCTTCAAGTGACAGCCTATGTCCTATGTCCAATGGGTGCTAAGAGGACCGTTAATAATGATTATGATGACATTGTGACTTACCTCTGACATTCTTTCCATTTGCTTTATCTACAAGAGCTACAATTCAATAAAAGAATTGTGAATGTTAAAATGTTGCAAGGCAAACAACAAGGATGTGTTTTAGAATGAAAAAATCAACTAAGAAAGGCACAGTTGACTAAAAAAGTGGGCAAACAAAGGAATGGATGGGAAGTGAATAGGAGGCGGATGAAATTAGAAAGGGAAAATGAGAAGCCACAAATCTTACAAAGTACATTTCATTGGAGCAGCAAAAATAGGTGGAATGAATGGAAAACAGATGAAAGATTGATCAAATAGAAATGGGACAGATCAAGTACAATCAGAAAATATAAAAGTTAAGCAAACTTGTCAAATAACATTCATACCAGCAATAACATTTCCCAGACTGGATAATGACTGGTTAATGGCTGCTCCTTCCTTAAGCCTGTCTCCTGTGGCCCCAGTAGAATCTGCACGTTCACTGTTCAAAACCAAAACCAAACTATTATTTATTATACCAACATTTGGACAACAGCAACTTGCATTTTTTTATCACCAGTGAAAGGTAACTGTTGTCTATGATATTTAAAGTTTTGCCCCACTTAACGCTCAGACAGTTATCAAAGAGTAACAACAGATATGATTCACCCACACTCTACTATAAAGGATTCTAAGGTTCTTTATACTCACATAGTTGCATCTCCTGTTTATTGACAACGCAGAAAGCAAAACCCTCATGGGAGATTGCCACAAAGGGTCTCTTTTTAAAAGATACCTGTGTAGAACTTGAGACCCTACAATCTTCATGGGCTGCGCAGTTTTTATGTGTACTAAAAGCAGATTTGGTACACAATCTGCATCAACAATGAAAAGCTTTTAGAATTTCAGAGAAAGAAAAATCACACACCTTCCAGCCAAATCCACCAGGTTGATTAATGATGTTTTTGCTGTCTCTTCACCAGCGTCATTTTTCCTCTTTTGTGTGAAGGTCACACCCACTATTGTGTGTGCACGACTAAAAAAGTCAACACAGAGAAAACAATAAGTAGTGTTTACAGGTGCAGATCTAGGATAAATACAGACTGATTTCCATACGAAAGCTTTGTGGGAGGTCTGCAGTATGCTCCCGCAGGATATTTTTTTGATTTTAAATTCCTTTTAAAGTCCCCTTCTCTGGGTTTCTGAGTCATTCAGAAGGGATATTATCCAGTTCCATTGTCCTTGGATGAAGCCTTGCAAATCAGAGGATTATTTCAAAGTCAGTTTTCATGTTGTAGTGGGTACTGGCCAAAATTTCAACTTGGAGAGTTTTTTTTTTAATTAAAAATATGACCGATTTCTGTAGAACAGTGGAAACTGGTGTGGATCCGCCCCTGGTTTAAAGTTTGGGTGTTATTCAAAGATGCATTGTCAGAGGTAGCTGCATTATTAAAAAGACTTAATCTTGGGTAAGTAGGAAATACCATGATCTAATCACCGACTATTTGACTAGATGTGTTCTTCATTTTCATTTTTATGCCCTTTCCTCCCCTTGAAGTGGCTGGGATGGGTGCTGGACAACCGAGTGTGGTGTGGAGAATCATGGCTGGCTTGTTGGGGGAAATATTGTCAGTTATGGGAGCAGTTCTCTATCTAAGTACTTTCTGGGGACAGTGGAGGCCCGTAGACATCCTAGGCACCCATCTTTCATACAATGAGATGTACTTGTTAATCTTACAAAGTAAAATTTTAAGCCATGCACCTGCTTGTGGCATTCATATTAGTAGCTGCCACTGTTCTGCTTCTAGTTCCTTCTTCCATGCGCTGCTCAATATCTTTGTATTTACTCACTGGCACAGTTTTAAGACCATCAGCATAGAAGCCTTTTTTGGGGTGTTGACGGACACGCAGGCCTCCTTTGCTGTTTGAAGGATTTAAAAGGTCACGCACTTTTTCGTTGTAGATCTCAAGCATACTAAACACCACCTTGAAAAATAAAAACAATTGTCAACAGTAGTTATTATACAGCACTAGAGTGTTTAAAATGCACCTAATAGCACACAAAAAGTCTGGTATAAAATTTACACCGTCTGCCTTCACTTCTTACTATATATGCCAACATTAGTACAGTATAAAAACCACAGAACAAATCCCTGTGTTATTCAAATTATCCCATTTTACACTGTGACATAATTTCAAATTAATGACATGGAAGTGTGCCCAGTGCATTAAATAATGATCATTTTAAAGAAGAATTCTCAAGAACTATTAGTAAACACTCCGGGCATTCTTCAGATTAAGCCAACAGTGATAGTTCTGCACAAAATACACAAGTGACACGAGTCTTCAATTTGTCTAGTGAGCTTATACTTATAAATTTGAATCCAATTAATGAATAGGAATTTGTTTTTCGGAACCTTAAACATCACAGATCCTTTCATTACCTCATACTGTCCTGTATCACCACTTTGCTTTTTCTCCTCTATTCCCACAAATATTTGCTCACAAAAGACTGGCACAATACCTATGTTTAATGCAATGAAGGAATATTTAATTTAATTTAATTTTATATCACTGAACGGATACTATGGAAAAATCATTCAGTGATTTTTGATAAACTGCTGGACTCTCCTTCTAAATTGTGATGTACTTTACAGCAAAACAAAAAGGAGAATTTGAAATTTCAGGGTCACTTTTTTAAAAGGACGTTGATTCCCACAATATCATATGGTAATTTATTGCACCTCTATTTGCACCTTTATTATACCTCTACTGATAAAATAACCTCTCAGACATTTAAAAAATGGACGTAACAATACGGCATGTACCGTAGGTGAAGAGGTCTGACTTGTAGTCTGACAACATGTTACAGTTGTGAACAAGACAAAAAAATTTTATTCAAAGGAATATTTATATTGAGAGGTAAATGTTTCATAACATTATTAACGTAGATTATACACTTTCTGTAAATTAATCAGTTTTACCCAAAGACTTGGAAACAATAGCCGTGAAGGGGAAGTGCAACCCCTCCCTGCCCCAGCCCGCCCCCACTAAAAACAATTTTCATCCTTAGCTGCCTTTACGATGTTCCAAGACAACATAGAATGACTTAACAGTGACCCAGGAGGTATCCAAGAAAAATCATGCCTAGGGTCTGATCCAATGAAGATTAAGGTCTGCCTAATTATTACATACCCTTGTTTGCACCATAACCAACAATTGACCAAGACTTTCCAGATCCAGTCTGACCATAAGCAAACAGTGAAGTGTTGAACCCCGCCCAAGCATTATCCAGGACCCCCTTGCCAAGGTCATTATACACTTTCATCTGCAACACAATAAGATGTGCTATGTGTACAAATTGCTTAAACTGACTCATCCACTGTCTTTGCTTTTGTTTTTCTTAAAAATTAGCAAGGGATTAAATTGTGTAGGGGGGGGAGATGAATATTGGGGATGATGCCATGCTATAGTCTCCTTCAACCAATCTGCAACTGGATACAAATAAGGAAAAGGGGTGAAGAGGAACTGCTGATTATGTCTGTTGTCATTTCAACAGTAAATTTTCTGAATTGTTAATGTTCTCAGTGTCGACCCCCATGGCATTTCAAAACATTCTGTTCGCTGAAGCACTTTTTTAATTATAGTGATCTAAAGGGACTGTGAGGCTCTTGGAATAAGAAGTCTAAGGTCTATGCCATATTTCCATTTCCAGTGCATGACCCATTCAAAATTCAAGTTGCTTTCTGCTTAATGTTTGTGCCCAGGCTTCTCACAGGTTGAGTTAAGGTTGCGTTCTCCCGATGTCAAATGCAGTTACAAGGCTGTGCTCTAGCAGTTCCCAGTGGCCCCAGCTGGCACCTAAATGTTGCTCTCGGGCAACCAGAAGATATTTGCTTTCTCAAATACCGTAAATCCTCTATTAATTATTTTTCAAGCACTTTTAAGGGGGGCTTAAAAGAAGGGGGGCATATTCAATTTAACAAAATGCATCAACAGAAGCATTAGGTTTCTCGAGGACGGACTTGTGGTTACCGGGCACTATACTGCTTTTTCTAACAGAAAGAAAATGGTAACAATTCTCCACGGAGAACTAGAGCATAAAGTTGAAAAAGTTCAGCACATGAAGTTGGAGGTCTTGTGGCCGAAGACTAAAAATAATATGAATTTCAAGCCTGAATAAACTATAACTGATCAGTCCACGTTAATTGTTTGTGAAGAATAAGGATGGAGGGGAGAGGGAGTTGGCTTTATAGAGAGGGGGGCTTATTAACTTTCCTCCTCTGAAAAGGGAGGGCTTATTAGAGAGGGGGGGCTTAATAGAGGATTTACGGTAAATCCTATACTGGGCACCCCGGATTTCACAGGTTCAGAGCACCGGGCCCCCTTATATTTTTCATAGAGCCATGCAGCCTTGAGTTATGCTCATATACCATATTTCTTTCATTATCATAATCAGTTTTATGCATTTAGCCATTCATACCTGATCTGCATAATGTGGAACAGTTGGAGCCAGGTAGCCATCAGGTTTCTCTTCAAAGCCATCATGTGACCAGTAACTGAAATCAAATGTGAACTTCTTTGGTTCCTCATTGGGTTCTTCAGGGTTTTGCAGGTAAGTTGTCTGTCCTTTCATCTCAACAATTAATGTTGAATTTCTGGCCTTTTCACGTTTATTGTGAGAATTGTTAAGGAGCAATTATGATAATTCCATTTCATGATGCCCTACAGACCTCGTTCATAATTAATGGTGGCAGGCTATTAATATATATTTATTTATACATATGATAATTAGCCTTTGTGACCTCATTGATATGCGCAAAATACCAAAGAATTCTTACTTTCAAACACGACCAGAAAGACTCATTTATATATGGTAGATAAGTGGGGCGCCATTATAAAAGAGGTCTATGAGCAAACTTGAGTTTTCTGATCATTACAGGTAAGGTTCTAAGTCTTATTTACCTCAAGTATTATAGGTTGGCAAAATAACTTCAGTGCAGGCAAAACAGCTCAGATCATGTACTGGGCAGATCAATGTCGGTGTACAGGCAAATCAACTTGTAGGGAAAAACTTTATTAGGGTAATTAAAAGGACCCATTTTGAGATCTAAACCAGCTCCGTTGCAGCTGGGCAGCAAAGGACTTTTCACTCTAGGGACAATTCAACTGCATAATTTACAGCTAGCTGCAATCATTCTGAGCAGCCAAGTGATTAGCCTGATTCTGAGACGTCCGAGGTCATTATTTGTGGTCCCTTCCGCAAATAACCTCAGACGTCTGAGAATCAGGCTACCAAGTGATATCCGAAAGGAAGGGATCGAATTAAAGTGATGCATAAAAGGGGAGAAGCTCTTTCCCATCCCTGTTATCTCTTTTCAGGCCCCTGAGGCATGCGACTCACATACCCTCACAAAGTAAACCACCTCTTTGACTGAAAACCATTGCATTAACCTTGTCTTACTTCTAGAATGAAAAAATCTTGCAGCAACAACAACAACAAAAAAATTCTCACTGTTGGCATTATTTGTTAATATAGGCACTTGTAAATCCTTCACTGACCTCGAATGCGCCTTGCATGGTTTTAAATCAACCCCCAACCCTCATCTTAATCTATATTCCCCATCTTACTTAATTAAAATTAAAAATTAAGTTGGACTAGAAATTGACAATATTATATTTATAAAAACATCATTAACAGCAATTACGCTACACTTAATTTGAACAAAATTATAAAACACGATTGTTGTATGTTTTAATGCCAAAAGATTCAAATATAATCAATTTGACCCTACTTAATCGAGAGTACTTGTAACACTACACGAATTTTAAATCCAAATCTCACAGGAGGTACGTATGTTACATGTACGCGTGCAGTCAGGTGTGGAGAGTGTTTTAAAGTTCAAGTTGAATTTTGACGAGTCATCGCCATATTGACTGTAATATCTCATATCTAGTAATAAAATATTGCTGATTACAATTTGATTTCAACTGCTCTGCCGGTTAGCAAAACAGTTTACTGGTAAAAGCGATAAATAAAGATATATTCCCTTTATGCCCTCTGGGCAATTTGAATATCGGGTCATGAAAAATCACATAGAGAGAGAACTATACAAACACTGCACACTTATCAAATCAATTGCAGAGTTCGACATCATCAGAGTCATCGCGCACGGCGTGTTGTAAATTAAATTGTAGAGGTAGAATTACGTTGTAAAACAAGTTAAAAGGATATAAATGGTCTCACTCGCACTGCTACCTTCACATTTTCTGCTTCACCGTCAGACATCTTCCCTCAAGACTCGTCAGTGCCCACCGCGAAACAACAAACAGTGAATTAGGTTAACTTTCGGCGGCGTAAATTACAATCAGAAAGTAAGCTGTTTCGCAAGCTTCAAAATCACTTTCAAGCCCTTGAACAGTAAACAAGCCGAGATATGGGGAAATTTTTTGCGATTATTGTTGATAAAATGGATGACAATTGCATTAATCGTTCGTCGCGATCTTCATCAATATACGTCTTGTTGCCATGCTGATACGCGCGAATTGTAAACTTAATGTAAATTAAATGCAAATCAGCTGTCCTCTATTGAAATCAACAGATTTGTTATGGCAAAATCAAAATAGCAACGATTTTCCATGCGCGTTTATGGATTAACGATTACGTCTATTCTCTAACAACAACACTTTCGACAGCCAACAGGAAAAATTAGTATATTACACTATGTTCGTGGGTTTTAAATCAGGTTGATCTTTAACAAAATTATTCAAAAACTTGACAGTCCCAAGTGAAAGCTTTTATGGTCGTTCATATAATTGGGTCACACTTTAGAATTTCACTTAATTTTACCATCAACGTCATACAGGTGTGCGTATGCATGTGTTCAAACTCTCTAAATTTGGACCTCAAGGTAAAAATTTGGCAAAAGACAGAAAACACGAAATAAAATAAAATAACGAAGTTGAAAATTAAATAGTTGATTTTTAATTTCTATAAAAAAGGTATCCTTACTTTTTATTTCACACGGCTGCAAGCTCTAAAACGGTCATGGAATTCATAAAGCGGCTCACGAAGATTAGCAAGAGTATTGGGGAAAAATAACCTTATATGAATCACGTTTTTTTAAAAAAAAAAAAAAAAGACAAAATAAATTTCCATTATCACTGCTATGCTACCCTATTTTTTAAGACTTAACTCACTTTAACTAAGAAAAAAAAAGGTGAGAGCAACTTTAGAATATGGCCAGTTTAATAGCAAATTATAATTTATTTAATAAACCCATAACCTGGAGAACAAAAGAATATGTGGGGCTTCAGTTTGTGTCCATGGTTTTGGTTTTATTTTATGCTGTTTTTATTTGTTAATCTATTAATAGTAGTCTGCAAATGGTTCTTTATTTTACTTGGAGATAGACGAAAAACGTGAGCACACAGGAAAAAGTCCTTTACCTTCCTCATTTCCTCAGAGATAGTAGAACCAGTGAAGAATGTTTCACTGGAGCCAACAGAGCTTTTATCTGAACATTCTATGGACATTGCCCTTCTTTTGATTTCACACTAGTTAGTGTATTATTGTTACTAGTAACGTTAGGAGCATAGCATCCATATATGCACAAAAGCCCGTATGTACAGATAAAATCTGGAAACGTTTTGTTTCCATTTCCTGAGAACATTTTTATCTTTAAATCGGGATGACCGATAAATTTTCGCATTGTATTGGTGTCTTTATTGGTGTCTTTATGTTAGTATTTCCTTTATCCTGTTATCATTCCATAACTCTAGAGATGTGTAAAATAAACAACTAACTGCTTCCTAGGTATTTATTTACTGAAAATGTCCTGTGAAAAACGCAGAAAATGGCACTTCCGAGACCCTAAATTTAAAAATTGTCTAGGGGGAGCCTGGGGGCGGGGGAGTATGCCCCCAGACCGGCCCACCTGGTCTGGTCCTCCACGTCATGTAACTTTTCTTTTTGTGCATACACCTTCAACTTCTCACGCTACACCCATGAACCTGAACATTATAAGATCGGGCATAAATCATTAATTTTTAGAACTAAATTTCTCTCAGATTTTTTTGCTACTAGGTCAATTAGTAAAATATAGATTAATTTTTGTTTAAGATGTTTTTGTTTTTGTCCGCTAGTAATAAGGTGGAGTAACAAACTAACAATCTCGAACAAGTGCTGATAGCCTGAAACCAAATTATTTATGGTGGGTGTTGAAAAAAATGAAGATTTAGTCAAATTTCAAGAATTATTTTAGACATACTCTTTATTGGTAAACTGGCTATTTCATGTTTTTTTTTTCTGGATAAATTATTGTATTTTACAAAAAGCAAAAGCTTGTTTGGATAACAAATGCAGTGTTTAAATAAACGTTTTCCATCTTTTGCAAAGAAGTAATGTCCTCACACTGCATATGGAAAGAAGCAGTTTTGACCAGTTGATTTTTGAGAAATGTCTAGAACAAGTTACTGAGAATAAAGTCTCTATTCTCAGTGTGGGGGAAAATCAGAATTTCCGTTACAAGTTTGGAGTCCTGTGAAAGTTAACATTAGCTTCCTTGTACACTGTAGATCCAAACAACAAAAGTGAAGTTAAAGCAGAATTTGTGAGTCCAAGAGCTTTGCAATGCAAGTCGCTTTGACAGAGAAAATTGAGAACATGTTTAAGTCTTTGAAGGAATTCCACCTAGCTGAGACTGGATTTGAGCTTGCACCTTCATATTCAACATGTCTTGAACAGCTGCAAAGGAACACAAAAAAGCCATAGTCAATTAAATGAATTTAAAAACCACTATGGGATGTCAGGGGGCATTGACATCCGTATTTACATGTAGATAGCAATTTCCTTTTTATTCCTGGCATATTCACAATATGTTTGTTTAACACACAATTCCAAAGAGAAAAGGCAATTTTTATGAATATGTGGTTTTCCTAAAGGATTGTTGGTCTCTCAAGAAGTATCTTTAAATAAATCAAGTTATCTCACTTTTCAGGAAACAGACAGTCATTGCTAACTTCAAATAATTTGTAACAAAAATGATTGCCCTTCTTCAAAAGAATCCTTTTTCAAACAAACTTTACTTTAATTCAACAGGACAGGTGTATAATAAAATTATAGAAAATAAAATAAAACCTTTTAGGCCTTTGAAACTGTCTAACTTATTCAACATGGCTTTATGCATAGGCAGAAAGTTCAATTTGCACTATGACATCTTCAGAATTTTAAAATAGCCACTGATATAAGACTACAACATATCTAAAAGTTAAATAAAATAAATGTAACTGGGAACTAGTCATTTGGTAAAAATGTCAAAACTCATAGAATGAATAGTAAATTTTACAAAACTTTGAGGAATTGTTCCGAGTTTGAGAAACCATCCACCATGGAATCAACTGGCAAGAAAATGCCACAAAAAAAATGCTTGAAATTTTTAAATAAATAAAAAACCTGTGACATGTTTCATTTCATACATGGAACTTTCTTGATTTCAAACCAGAATTTATTGTTGAATGGATGACACCCACAGTCATCTTTGAGTTTCCTACATACCTTGTTTTAGTTTATGTTTTTCAAGTAATTTTGGTTGAAGGAGTTCCAGCTGCTTGGTTACTAGATCAACTTTTCTACCAAAATATTGCTCAGCTTCTTTTAGTCCCTAGATGAAAGACAAAACAAATAATAAGTAAAGTTAAGAATTATCGATAATCAACTAGATGTGATGTAAGCTCGCACTTTTCCTAAACAGACTGCCCCGCAGATACAAAAAATGGGGAGGGAGAGAAAAGCCTTCCTTTTTCCCTTCTCCCAATCCCGGGGGTGGGGGGTGGAGGGTGGGGGGGTACTTCGGATTTCAAGTGACAGGGAGGATTGAATGGGGCCAAATATCAAAACCAAAAAAAATCCCTAGGGCTTCAAACAAAACCCCCAAAAAGTTCCTGGACCAAAAATTAACCACAAAAAAAATCCCATGCTGAATTTCTGAGCCTTAAAAATCTCCAGAAAGGAAAACAAAATTGGTTGTATTTAAATCGCAAAATGACGCGGCTGGGACACGCGGGCACTATCATGTTCTGAATCACCAAAAAAATCCCTACTTAAATCAGGCCACCCAAAAAAATACTTGCCAAATTTTACTACCCAAAAAATCCTGGAATTGAAAATTTCAAACCCAAAAAATTCTGGAGTACCCCCACCCCCACCCCTCTGGGCTCCTGATTCCCTAACCCTTTTGATACCTGCTATGTAGGCTATTCCAAAAAGTAAACTTGCAAACATTAAACTACGGCTTCAAGGAAAAAAGAAACTAAAAGATTCACATTCCTGAAAATAATCATTACCTTTTCTACGAAGTAGCCGGTTCCAATATTCACTAAAACAGATTCAGTATTTTCAAGTGTTCCGGGGACATACATCTGAGGTGACTCAAGGATGAAATAATGCATTTATTTATTTTTAACTTACAATAGTCTTTACAAATAGATATACAGATAGCGTTATTTAATGAGGGTGGCACATGACAGTTTTAACAACTGATGACCCAGTGACATTTTGCTACTAGTTCGTCAAGAATGTGGGGTTTTGCATAAATTCATTCGCTTTTCAGAGAATAAAAGGGGAAGATGGCTTGGATAAAAAAAATAAAACAGAGAACTACTTTTATTTTGAACCCTGTCCAAAACTGGGGGTCCACGGACCCCGAGTCCATGTTTTGTCCTCACCCCCACAAAATGGCATCTGAGGAACAAGAGCAGAAATTCCATACTGATGACACATCACTACATTGCAGATCTGAGTAAAGCTTCTGGTTGCTTTAAAATTTGATGCAACTAATTGGAAGAAAATTATCAGTGAGTATGGATCGGAACTTCTGCACCCGCTCCTCAGATGTAAATATTTCGTGGTGAAACCAGCAATGTAATCACGAAATCGCGACTGTTTTCTCAGGCTAGGTATTCTAAAAATGTAATCAGTTACATATTTATTTCTTTACTTATGTGAAAGTAAAGTATACTTTTAATGTTAAATGCAAAAGGAGCAAAAAGGATACAGAGCTTGTTAATGGCACAAGTATGTCTTTTCCTAAAAATTGTAAAAAGTGATCGGGAATAAAAAAAAATCAGGCAAATCAAACAACTTGTATGGAAAAAGAACGATTAGATAAAAGAAGTTATAAACAAACCCACCTGATTCCTTGTTGTTCAGTTTCTTTACATTTTCTTTAGAATCTCCAAACTTTTGTTGGGCGACCTTTAACTGAGCCATGGAATCTCCAAGCAATTTTACCTCCTAAAAACAACTCAGAATTAGCTCATGGCATACGTAGGGTTTACCCTGAGATTTTCTCTACGTAAAAACAACTTGCCTCTTCTAATTGAGATCTTAGATTCTCCAAATGAGGGATTGGAAGTTGGCTAAGTTCAATTGCTTCCCCAGCCGCCATTTTGAAATTCTGACAATAATTCCTACCCAGTCCTTTTCCGTGTTCGCGCGCCAAATTCCACGCCACAGGTTACCCAAGTATGATAACGGATGAAAATTCACCCAAAAAAATTCAAAAGAAAGCAATTAAGTTATCTGATGTTGTTTTCATCTTTCTACGAAGGTCACTCTTACATTACTCTTGCGTCACATGCTTTTTTTTTTCACTGATACAGTGGTACGCTGCCGCACATAATCCCTTTCATCATCCGGGTCTCCAATAGGTTTATGCGGGATCCGGGATTTGCCTGATTTCAAGACCGAGATTCGGGATTTCAAAGAAAAATGGAGACGAGTTTATGGACTGAAAGTATGCACGGGTTGTGGCATCCCGAAAATAGTCATCGGGATGACGGGATTGAAGAAACTTTAGAGGCTGATCAATGAAATTTTGTCTTAAAAGTTAAATAACTAAGCGATACCTAGTTGCAGTAGTTGGACTCCTGATTGAAGGCAATGTCAATCGCTTTTGAGCCTTAATTTATGGTTAGAAATAGCGATCAACTGTCAGAAACGTTGATTACGATTCTTTAAAAAGGGAATGTGGAAAATTTCCCTCGTTATTTGACTAATATTTAGATATAATTACTTCCTTGAGGGTTCCTTTAGACCCTGTTTAGAAAAAGTTGCCATAAAAATGAATGCCTTGTAAGAGATCTTGTAAACACGAGGGAGGGTGACTCCAAGTAATGAAGAACGTCCGGGGGAACCTTGTGACAAAAAAGGGGGAAAACACCGTATTTTGTTTTGAAAAAATATATATCTAAAAAATGTTAATGCGAAGTTTCATCGGTAATTGCAAATTTTTATCTATCCCTTATTCACCTCTTCTTTTTTTGCGTTTTTTTCTCTTTCATTCAGTGTTAATTCAACGTTTTCGGCTATTTTATGAGTGCGCACGTGAGTGCTGGCCGCGTACAGATAGATACGCCCCTCGCACGTCAGCTCGTTAGTTCTTTACTGTCTTTATGCATTTTAGCTCGATTGAAGCTGTTTGAGAGAGCCATGTCATTCGTGGACCTCTCTGCTCGAAAATCTAGACCCGGGTTCATTCTCTCAGCGAGAATCTTGTGCCTCTTCTGCACAAATTGTGTTTAACTGTCTATAAAGTAAGCAGTTGCAACTTTTTATTCTTGGACTAATATATGAAATCCTAACGGTGTGGCTATTCAAAAGTTACTTAGCAGCCCCTTCCTGTGGTACTGTTTATTATGCTGTCAGTTGTTCTATACCTTTTGAGCCTGTGTATGAAATTCTGAAGTGTGACCATTCAAATGGAAGCTACTGAGCTGTCCTTGAATGCGGTACTGTTTGGTACGCTGTACGAGGTGGTTCTAATGTTCGAGTACGTGCATGAAATCTTAAAGTGTGACCATTCAAGAGCAGTACTTTCCTGTGGTTTGGTTTATTATGCTGTACAAGGTAGTTCGAAGCTTTTTTTAAGTCTGTGGATGAAATCCTCAAGTGCCATTCAGTTTGGTGCTGTTTCTTACATTGTACGTGGTGTCTTTAAGTCTGCATTTTGCCAAGCCCATAACGGACTACCATGGTTGACAGACGTAACTTTTTGTTTAAACTGAAAAACAATCACACGGTGAAGCCAGTCGGGACATTATTTAAACCGTAGACGAGGTTCATTTGGTATTTAAGAGCAAAGATTAGAGAGCGCGCGGGATATTTATGGATGAAAGTTATCCTGTTCTTGTTGTTAATGCCCATGAATATCCCGTCCGGTCAGCCCGATTAACATCCCCTTAGTCTCCGATAATAGTCCTAACCAAATCTTAAGGTACATAACCTTTAAATAGCAGTTCTTATCAAGACCGCCCAGGGAGTAGCCGTGCAATATTGGCGCATTTTTAACGCAAAATCTGTCGAAACTTTAGATAACTCCATGTAGCGCACCGCATTGTGACGGTTGAATTTTCCTTTTAGTTATTAATCTTCTAAAGCCACCTTTATTGTAAACGACTGAGAAATATTTCTAATACCTTTATTGTTATACAAAACAGGCTCAGCTAATTTAGTAAATATCTCTAGTATTCAATAATCAAACTGGTTTATACAAGAGAAAGAAAAAGCTTATTTACTTAGGAAGCGAAGGCCCGCTTGATTAATAACAAACAAAGAGGTTTCTTTGATCAAGATTTAAAGTTTTTTAATCAAATACTCATACTCATTAGTTTTCTAAAAAACTGTAATCCCCCGTAATATGTACAGTATAACTTAGTTTGTCCTGTTCTTAATCATACACCATGACAAAGAACTTGTTTTCTGTCTACTTTAGGGTGATGAACTAGCTTCCACATATTTTTAATATGGGACTCACATGTCATGAATATTTCAGCTCATTTTCTGAACGCAAAGTCTTACTTGTGACTCTAGATTCTTTTAAGGAGACCAGGACGAAGGGAAAGGAACAGAGTAGTTAGTTTTGGTTATTAGCGACATTGACCAGTCGATTAGGGGCCCCGCTTGAATTAAAGGGGTCTGCAGAACATTTCCAAGCCCCGGTCTTTGAAGAGGGAGAACGGAGGGGCAATTAAAGGCCACAGTCAGCCCCCAATCCCGTATCTTCCGCGCCTGAGACATCTCGCACACTTCGCTTCGGCCTGCATTTAATGGCAATGCAGTGAACGTCTGAGTTGATGAACATAACTGTTTGTCCGTTTCCATTGTGGACAGTGTTAGCCCCGTCTTTTTAGGCGGGTTTATTCCATTGTGACCGCCCGGTAGGGCGGCGAGACAGTTAATCTTGTTAACGATTTGCCGCCTTGTAGAGGACGTTGGTGAGACGTGTGCGGTTTCCGCGGTCTCCACCGGCGCTGATAAGCTAAGATGGCTGTCGGGTATGCATTCCTGATGCCCGGGAATGTGTTCATCGACGGCGCGTGTCATAGCGAGACCTAAGGGCAAAATGTGAAATGAATAATCATGAATAACTCTTCTTGTGCTTATAAACCCAGATTCTGGTATTATCCCTTTGCGATATCATGATCAGAAGAACACCATCGTTTTAGCGCAGTCTCGCAAAGTTAAAAGCGAAACCATGAAAATCCTTGGATATTGGTATCTCGGAAAGCGCAGTTTTAGCAGTAGTTATTGTTTATCTCTGCGCTTTACGCAAAGCTTTACAACTCAACTGTCCACTCCGCCCATTAGGTTTTCATCTTAGCTTGCGCGCTGCCGGAAAATGAATAAAAACCACAAAAGCTGATATATGTAGCCTCTAGCAATATTATCAAAACACCACTTAAAAATTTCACCGTCAACCGAATGTCTCTTCTCTCACCTCTGGTGTGTTCAGCTCCGTATTTCAAGCCTCTGAGGTGCTCCACGGTCAGCTGCAATATCTCCGCCTTTTCTAATTTAGTAGATCCCTGCGAAAAGAGAATGTTTTAACTAAGTACCGATCGTTCATGACTGAAGCCGCTAAAGAGATGATGATATTGCGCTTTAGGCGGAAAATTCCTACAAATTTCCTGAGTGTTTTCCCGGATTCTAGTAGCTTCTGTCACATTTTAATAAACATCATCTGGCAATGGTGTAGTAAAGTCTTTTTTGTGTCTCTTTTTTCTCCAGAAAGTTTGGACGTGCCGTATCAATGTATTTTGCGCGTGTCAGAGAAGTTGTTGAAATTGAAGCTGATCAATTTTAGCTGATAACCCACCTGCTTCTTAAACGCGGCCGGAACCAACTGCCGTAACTCCGCAAGAGAACTGTTTATTCTATCTCTTCTCTTCTTTTCAATTTGCTGAAAACGAAACCATTTTGTTAAAACGTTGTGAATTTACCACCCATAAAAAAGGATATTTTCGTTTTGACTTACTCCTCGCCTTCTCTTCCTCGCCCTTGTTTCAGGACTCTCGAGCTCATTCTCCACACCGTCGGAACTTGAAACGATAAAAGATAAGAGCTTATTAATCAACGTTTAAGGAGCATCAAAGTGACTGGAGACCTTTAAAAATACTACTCACTCGTTCTCGCCTCCCTTGAAAAAATCCCCCTCCGTGGAATCATTAATCTCGCTGAATGAGCGTTTCATTTTTTAACTAGAAGAAGAATAAGTAACCCACAAGTTCCTGAACAGCTATACGTCTCCTTGCCATAAGACAACGATTTATAAATAAGTAAATTAAATGATATTATGTTAAGTAATTTCCGACTTGTTGATTGGGCATCGCACGGGGACATCATCCGGACTTACGCTATGCACGTGTCATTAAAAAAAAATAGAATATGCATTGTTGGATTATCCAATCAGGCCTCAGGGAATCACTCTATCGGAACGACTTGTGTAAGGTGGACAGACGAGCAAAGCGTGTAAAAAATTCTACAGGGTAAATATGCTTTGCCTTCTAACTAAGGACAAAAGATTTCGCCAAGACAAAGAGGGTCCATTTTGACAACAACTTTGACATACTTATATAACATAACATCAAATGCATTCAAAGAAAACGCAGATATAACTTTATACTGACTCGAGCAGTTTCCAAGTTCCTAGATTTCACGGAATACCTATACATGATCAACTCGTTAAAATGTACATATTTTAAACAATCGCAAACTTTCCCACGGCTCGGTGTTAACCTGTTTATCTAAGGCCTTTGTTCGCTCGCCTGGCGACCACGGAGCAGTTAATTGCTAACGCTTGACCGAGTAAAAGTGCTTTTATATTCCGATGCGTTTGTTGTTTGAGGGAACAATACGCCCCTCTCTAGATCTACAATTGTACTTTGTGAAAGACATCCACGGGATTTAGAATAAACAGTGAACAAAGAGCTTTGAATAAAACTCCCGAGAAGCTGCTGACAGCGTTCGATCTTGTTTTGAAGAATTAACGCTGGTATTTTCAAGTTGTACTGGGATTTGCGTTTTTCTTTAGTCTTATTTGTCTCGAAACCTTTTTCAACTTTAATTTCGCAGAGTATTAACACCGAACAGTAGCTATGGAATAATTAA